CTTGGACCGTGTTGAAACCACTGCGAGCATCAAACCACACTGTTCCTCTTTTTCCGTCACGAGCCAGGTCACGTTCGGATTTTTGGCGGGCCTTACCGCTTGGCCCGTGCAGCTGTCGCATCACGTGACGGCGCTAGAGCTCGCACCTCTCGCCAGGCGTGGTGTCCTGTATCTGCTCTATGGTCAAGATCGAGTCAATCCTGCCCACCACGGCTCAATCTTTTGATCATCTGCATCTCCGACCGGCATTTTTCAGTCCCAGTATTCATTGGCTGCTTCAGAGATATCGCAAGAATCGCACTGCGCCCACTCGTTACGGTATGTCATCCGCCCATTCCCCGCCCTGGGGGTCGCCAGGGGTGCGTTGCTCGAGCCGAGCCTTTGTCGCAACTCGACCCAGCCCCAACTGCTACTCCTCCCTTTGCTCCTTTGACCTTGCCCCATCTTCATGTCTTACTCCTCCAAGCTCGCCTCACTGACGAGATACATCCTTATCCAGACACTCCTCCGCCGCATCCAGCCCTTCTCGACACCATTGAACAGCTTTTGCTCTTAACGTACGCTACATGCCCCATTGAGATTGAGCTTGAATCGACCTCCAGCCCAACCAACGCCAGACCCCTCCTAACCGTATATATCATCAGATCGAGGAAAAATCCCACACGTCCCACACGCGCGAGACACGAGACTCGACACACACCCACATCTTTGACGCGGTTCATGGACGCCTGTGGATAGCACAAGCACCTTGCGCTGCCGGGCCTCTCCATTGTCCGAACAAATACTCGATGCAACTGGACCCGGTCTTCGAATCCCATGCGCAAACGCGAGCTACCCCGACTTTCCCTCGTCTCCAATCTCACATAACTTGCTGCTGCGCACCCGGTGCCTGCTCCTCGCCTGCATCTTAATCTGAGGCACCACTACACCCACCGCGAATGTCAGGTAGATGGCCGATGGTACTCACTATCTGGACCACCCTGTCGGAGATCTCTACCTCAACCCCCTCATATCGAAAGAAACCGCCGCCACCGACGCCGTACTACTGAACACGCTTCTGAGCCGACTTGCTACGAAAGACTCCTCTCCAAACCCTTTATCCAACCCGAACTCACGGGCCAATCTGCTAGGGATGTTCTCCCAGAATCACCAGCAGGGCCACAACTCCCGCATCAATGGGGGCCCCGGCGGCCGGGGGATCCCTATGCTGTACAACTACCAACAGCAGCAGCAACAGCACCACCAGACGCACCTTCAACACCACCAAGCTGCCCAGGCTGAACATGCTGCCCACAATGGCAACGGCGGCGTGATGGGCCACCACTCTGCCTTCTCCTCCGGCGTTATGGGGAACTCTAGTCCATACAGCACAAATGGCTTACAAAATGGCCAGGGGGGATCGACGCGGGGTGGTCAGGCGCAGCAGATTACCGAACACTGGGCGGAACAGCTACGGCTCTACGAGGAGTCCAAGCAAGCCCACCGCGCCATGACCGAACAAAACCAGCCGCATTACTACGCCAGACTCAAGGCCTCGGAGAATCGTGGTATTGCGGGACCTTCGCCTACCTCGGGCAAAAACGGCGACGACGATGCAGATGATAGGAGACGGCCATACAGCGTGGAGAAGAACGCCAAGGAACGGCAGAACTGGCACAACATGGACCTGAGCGGCCAGGGGCTCCGAAACCTTGCTCCGGCTCTCTTCCGCTACCAGTTCCTCCACGATCTCTTCATTGCCTCCAATAGACTACAGACCCTACCCCCGGCCATTGGTCAGTTGCGTCAGCTGCGTTACCTCAACGTGTCATTCAACCAGATCAAAGACCTTCCCGCCGAACTCGGCATGTGCACTTACCTCAATCAGCTGCTCCTCTTCGATAACCAGATCCACACCCTCCCCTTCGAACTGGGCTCTCTACACCTGTTGGACGTTCTTGGCATCGAGGGCAACCCCCTTGACCCGGATATGAAGCAAGAAATCATGGAGAAGGGCACAAAGAGCTTGATCAACCTCCTCAAGGAACAGGCTCCCGGTATGCATACCTTTCCGAGCCTTATTTTATCGATAACTAACCTTCTACAGTGCCGCTGCCGCCCTCCCCTCGAAAGTACATTACTGTTCAAGAAGATGTTTCGCCTACTTTGGAAAAGGTCAAGGTCTTCTCTTGGAACGTCCTGTGCGACAAGTACGCGACGCCGCAAACGTATGGATACACGCCGACGGGTGCTTTGAACTGGGAATACCGAAAGGCCTGTATTTTTGACGAGTTACGCGAGAAGGACGCCGATCTGCTGTGCTTGCAGGAGATCTCCACCGAGGCGTTTAAGGAGGAGTTCAGCCCGGAATTGGCGCAAATGGATTACAAGGGTGTACACTGGCCGAAGACCCGAGCGAAGACGATGGCCGAGAAGGATGCGCAGGGGGTCGACGGTTGTGCGACATTCTACAAGGCCAGCAAGTGGATTCTGCTTGACAAGCAGGTTATTGAGTTTGCCGCCATCGCTATCAACCGCCCGGATATGAAGAACCAGCACGATGTCTTCAACCGTGTCATGCCAAAGGACAACATTGCTGTTGTCGTCTTCCTCGAAAGCCGAGTCACAGGCTCACGCATCATCCTGGTCAACGGACATTTGGCATGGGAGTCGGTCTTGGCAGATGTCAAGCTTATCCAGACCGGTATCTTGATGGAACAAATTACGAAGCTCGCCGAGAAGTATGTTCGCTGGCCGGCACTCAAGGACAAGAAACCCATTACCTTCTCTGCTACCGGCAAAGACGGGGAGGAGCCACCGCCACCAGCAAAGGAGCCGGGTCCCAGCCAAGAATACCGAAACAACACCGACATCCCCCTGCTGGTGTGCGGAGATTTCAACTCGACGGAGGACAGCTCGGTATACGAGCTGTTATCCATGGGACGCGTCCCACCCAATCACCAAGAGCTGTCCAGCTTCCAGTATGGCAGCTTCACGCGAGACGGGATCGAGCACCCTTTCAGCTTGCGGGACGCCTATGCACATATCAAAAACACCCCCGACGAGATGCCTTTCACCAACTACACTCCCGGTTTCTCCGACGTCATCGATTACTTGTGGTACTCAACCAACACGCTCGAGGTGGTGGATCTCCTGGGACCGCCCGACGCTGAATACCTTAAGCGGGTGCCAGCGTTCCCTAACTATCACTTCCCCGCCGACCATATCCAGATCATGGCCGAATTCGTCATCAAAGCCAGGAAGGACAAGAAGTCGCCCCACCCGGAACCGGATTTTGGATCAGGAAGCCAAGGGCAAGGCCGATAGACGAGAGGTTCGACGACTTGATTTTCGTACTGTAGTCTCCAAGGGTCGTCGCGTGCGTTCAGGGAAATTCTTTTGCCGGAGTTTAGGATTGCGATGCGTTTCGCGAATCGGAGGAACTGGCGGGGGATGGTCTTTTGGGGGAGGGTGGCGAAGTTCACGAGATTCAAAAAAAAAAACAACGAAAGAGAAACGGAGGGAATGGGGTTCGTCGGCGGATATGCATTGTCACGCGTGGTACGAGGGGACGCCTGGGTGTGGACGGCGGGGGTGGAGGGGCTTTTGTAGATGGAAGGGTTGCTGACACATAGCCAACCAGCTGCGTTTTCTCTTGCACTTTGTTCTCTCTCGTTTGATCGTCGGGCTCTTGGGAATTCTTGAGGCTCTGCTTCATGTGAAATAGGGCGTTATCTTCGTCTCGAGCGGAACGACTGACTGCGTGGGGGATGTAGGCTAAAACATACTCCTGGGCGTAACTCTGGACGTAGGTATTGGGCACGCCTTTGAGTGGCCAACAGTCTTTGGCATTATCGGATGTTGGTCTTTTGGGCACACATATCCATACACCGTTCCAACGGACGAGGTTCGTTTTGATGTGCCCTCTTGATGCAGCCATGTCTCATAGCCCACCGAGCAAGCTTCAGCATTGGATACCAGGAATACAACAATATTACCGGGGAGCGAGAGGTCGCTCAGTCGAGCAGCAGCTCACCCATCACGTGAGAGCAGTAAAATGCAACCGCGCAGCTTGGAGTGGGCGCTGGACAAGGAATGGCAAATACTTTGGGACAAGCGCTTATGTACGGAGCAGTTGCCGGCATCCGAAAAGCTTAGGCTCGCCGCGCCCGTGCCCTTCCATTGCTGGCCCCGGCTTCCATCCCGTCTCTTGCTTTCTTCGTCGTTCACCTGTACTATGACAGTTTCATACGAGGTCGCTCGCTCACTCGTCTTCCATTGGTTCTTCATCTGCCGTCAGCTCCCTTGTGAGGCCCGCAACGACTACCACAGGATAACCTAGACCGTCTCCTTCAGGAGCGAACGTTTGCCTCTCGGTGAGATCGAGGTGAGTGAGCTTACTGCTCCCTCTTTCCGGCCCGGCTGGGACATGTCGAAGAGCTACGCAAGCTAGTGCTGACGTTAGGAGTAGCTCGCAATCAGCCCTAGCTTAGAAAGGGGGGCCATCTAGCGACTCTGGCGGATCAGAAATAACATCAAATAGCCGCGTTAACTACTAGAAATCTTTGGAAAGCTAGGCTTTGCATACCTTTCTTGGTCTCTCGAAGTTTTGCACAACAGCCGTTGAAGATTGCGGTGTCTGATAACTTCGGCCTTGAAGACTGGGTTCAGTTGGAATGCATGCACGGTACGGGGGTGAATCGTGACTGTTACAATCACCAGCCAAGTGCTTATATCAGATTCCGTGGATGAAGCTGACACGCCGACCCAACTTTCTGCTGGCTCGTTTTGATTATTGATGACAATCCTGCAGGATTGAGGGGCATAAAGAGGTGTGTTGGCTATTGGCGTCGATGTTTCTGCGGCTTCCAACCCTGACCTTTCAAACTTTCTACCTTCTCTTTATCGTCCTCGCCCTTCGGACACTAGTATACACCGTAACCAAAATACTAAACGCTTCCCTAATCCATCGCAGCCAACAGGCAACCCAGTTATCACCGTCTTGAACAATCAGTGCCACAATGGGCTCCGAGATCTACCTCGTTACAGGGGGCTGCGGCTTCCTGGGCAGCCACATTGTCGAAAAGCTCCGCGCGGCGTACCCGGACGCCCGCGTTGCCGTCTTCTCGCGCAACCCGACGACGAACCTCTTCCCGGGTGTGACATACCATGTGGGCGACATTTCGTCCCTAGACGACGTCGCGCGGGTCTTCAAGGAGGTGAAGCCGACCGTCGTCTTCCACTGCGCGGGGATGATGACCATTGGACGCAAGACCATGACGGATGAGTTTGTCCGGAGAATCAATCTTGATGGGACAAGGCAAGTATTGGATGAGAGCAAGAGAGCCGGTGTCAAGGCCTTTGTGACAACTAGCAGTGCAAGCGTCGTGCAGAAGGAGATGTTCCGGGACATCCACGGGGCTGACGAGAGTTGGCCTCTTGCCGAGGATGGAGATGACACATTGGCTTATCCCAAGACCAAGGTAAGTGGTCTGTTGTTGCGGTCATAGACCGTTGGGCAAGGCGACCAAGAAAGAACACTGATTGGACTCAAGGCGGCCGCCGACAAATTGACGCTCGCATACGACGACCCTGCCGGCATGCGCACCTGCACCCTCCGCCCTGCCGCCGTTCACGGCGAGCGCGACAACGACATCACGCCCGCCATCATGCGCAACCTCCGCCTGGGCCGCCACAAGCTCCAGATCGGCGACAACACGAACCTCTCCAGCACGACCTATGCCGGCAACGCGGCGGACGCGCACCTCGCCGCCGCGGACAAGCTCCTCCACGCGCCCGAGGGGGTCGCGGGCGAGGCCTTCTTCATCACCAACGGCGAGCCGATGCGGTTCTGGGATTTCAGCAGAGCTGTATGGCGGGCTGCCGGGGACAAGACGCGGCCAGAGGAGATTCGGATCGTGAGCATGACGGTAGCGCTGGCGTATGTCTGGGCGCTGGAGTGGATTTATTGGTTCAAAGGGGAGCTTCCGCCACTGACTAGGCAGATTGTGAGGTTCACGGGGATGAGTCGGTGGTATGTTATTGACAAGGCCCAAGAGAGGCTTGGATGGAGGCCCGAGGTTAGTCAGGAGGAGGGGATTAGGAGGGCTGTGGAGTGGTATCTGGAGAAGGAGGAAAGGGAGGCCGCTAAGGAGAGATCGTGAGAGAAAAGCAAGTACTGACGCAGAGTGGCCGTCGAAAAAATCAAAAAGCTATCTAGGGAGATTAAACTGCCTTACGTGGAACGAGATGTACTTGCAAAAGAGCGTATTTCATTTGTTCAATACTAGGCCTGATTGGTATGTCGAAGCTCTTGAACTAATAGTCGCTCGAAATATTCATCATGGTGATGCGTACCTAAGGTTCATTCACACACAATTTGCATCTGACTATAAGAACTCATGTTGCTCGCCAGATATTGGTTGTCGTGAGTCGTTGGATCGCTTCAAACGTATTTTGAAACAGCTGAATTATTCGTCGATCTAGAATAAAAAAACGGGCTTCACTTAAAAACAACTTGATGGACTTGAATGATGAAACGGAACAACTCCAAAGCACATCTTGCCAACGAGCTTCCTGACTTATATTTTGCTTGGCTTACATTCTCAATTCTTTCCTAAAGAAGTGACAGATATCTCTTTGACTAGTTGATGCTTCAGAACCGATCAGTCATTTTCCAACTGAGCCTGACCATTGACACCTTTCAAGACTGTGCTTTCAACAGAGCCAGAGTTTCTGTGAACGCTGTTGCCAGAGCCATACCATTTCGCCAAATGTCATTGTGCGTGCCCTGAAGCTCGATAAAATGAGTTTTTTCCTCCAGCTCAGGCAAGCTTCCCAAGGTAGCCTCCATGGTCTCTGCCTGATCCCACGGAACAAGTCCATCATCCCTGCTGTGTGCCAAAATGAAGGCTTTCGGGCCCAGTGCTGCGTACTTCTCAGCTCCTACTTCGGAAGGACTTGCTTCCACCAACTGGTCTTCCCTCATGGCGTTGAGAACGAGGTAGTCATAACTGGGATTGGTGATGTGGAGTTGCGGGTAGTCGTAGATTCCGCTAATACCCAAGACAACCGCAGGCTTTGGCACGGAGGGGTCTTGAAGCGTCTCCAGGGCGGCGAGATAGGAGATCTGAGCGCCGACGGAGTGACCAGAGAGGACGTAGTTTCCATCAATGGGGTAGTGCTTGTTCAAGTCTTTAAGCGCGGCAACAGCATCGTTCAAGTGATCTGGCCATCTCGCGTTCTGCAGTTCGTTTGACGGGGTGTTGTTGGGCTGGACGCCGGGCAGAGCAGAGAGACGATAGTTCAATGAGGCAATTCCAGCGACTTGGTTCGCGACAATGTCTGAACTGTTGGCCTCGAGTGAGGCAATGGCCGCATTGACGCCCGTCGAGTTTTGAGCAAGGTCGCGGTAGAAACCCCCATGAATCCAAACGAGCCAGTACTTGCCGGCCGAGGCAGACCCGTTTCCGGAGGAAGAGGGGATGTAAACGTTGTATGTCTGGAGGACGTTAGGGCCGTATTGGTAGGTAGTCGTCTTTGCACCGGCCATAGTAGCACTGATCAGCACTGAGACGATGAATGTGACCGAAAATCGCATGTTGACTGCAAGATTGAGCTTGCGTGCAATGATCAAAAACCGGCGGAAACCCAATCTACATATAACGGTCATCCATCGTTTCACGATTCCAAAGGAAGGCAGGACTAAGGGGAATGCTGCATATCAGGCATTTCAACTAGGCTTAATGAGTAGAACACGTCCGGTTAGAGCCGACATGGGTTTCTCCTGCGTTAGGGCACGCAGAGAGCAGCCTAGCCCAGAAACAAAGGATTGCCGGTGACGAAGTCTCATTGGGTGATGACGCCAAGTTTTTGGACCACTTGCCTATCAGTGATTGAGGAACGGCCCGGGAGACTTGGCGGAACGGTATCTTGCCTATCGCCCACCTTGATTGAGATATCCGGCTTCCGCTCCGCGTGGGGTCGCCAAAAAGCCGGGATTGCTAGTGCTGACGGCGTCATGAGGACGGAAGCTTCAATGACGATAACAACTAATTTTCAATAGAGGAGACCATGTGAGGAGCCAGAAATTGCGAACATCAAGACTTTCGTTCCATTTTGAAGAGCCCAAGGTCAGAGTATTAGCTTCGAATGAGACGACCCACTGGGAGCGTAACGTAGAGGGATGATCGAAGATCAGCATTCTTCACTAGCAGAATTTGACGAGAGTTGATTCCAACTTGGGTTGGGTTGGGTTGGGTTGGGGGGGGGGGGGGTTGGGTTCTTTTCCTGCCTCTTGCCGATCTGGATTTCACCATCGCCATGGTTTTCTCTTTCTTGAATTCACGCAGTTGCACTACATCTTCCTATATCACATATAGTACTCTCTTTCCTACACAACTATGCAGTTTAGGAACAGCCTATATCCTTAACCTCCTCACTGCACTCATCAAAGTGCTTCATCACTTCATCCCTAAGTATACGCTTGGTGGAAGTTTTAAATCTGTCGTATTTAATCGAAATATCAGTATCGCAATAGTGGTTCCGCCTTTGTGTCACAAATCATAAATAGATCTAGCATATGGAGCTTTTGATGGAGACCATCGGACGCTAGTCTACCGATTGGGCCTGGTTCTCACTCAAGGTAACTGAGTAGGCGGCGGCACTTGAAACTATAGTATTTTATATGCTAGCTGCTTTTATAAACCCAACAATGAAGTCACGAATCGATTTCCTCAGGGCCTTGGAAGGTTTGGAGGGTCGTGCAAGAGCTTGAATTCTGCATCCAGTTCTTGCAGCGAGTTGTCAATATGAGACCGCCGCTCTTGGACCCATCTTTGGAGATCCTCCAGAATCTGCTTCGAACCATTTATCATACGTTCCATTTCCTTCGGTTGCGGGCCTCCAGAGGTTGCTCTCCGATTGACGATCCCAGCAGGGTCGAGCGCCTCCCGAAACTCTTGCTCGTCCAAAAACTGATAGCCGCTTCTTTCGAGGTTTGTATGTTTCAGTGTAGCTACGAATATCCTGGATGCCTCGGCATACGGGAACTCGCTTGGACACAAATCCTTAGCCTTTGCGTATCTAACAACCTCTGAAGCAAAGTGGTGCCCAACTCGGAACGGCACTTTGTGCTCTCGCATCAAGACGTCCGCCAACTCTTGAGAGGCAGTCCAGTCCAGATCCAACTCTTTCAAAGACCGCTTGCCGTCGACCACCAGGGCGTTGAGAATACGTTGCCAATCTCTCAACACTCTTGTTGCACCATTAAGCACAGCAAGATTGTCCGCCAGATTCTTTGCATCAACCATACCCGGAGGGAGGTTATGCCCCTGAATGGCCCGGCCTACACCGAGAGTCACGACTCTAGACGCTTCCGCTCGGGTGTTGTTAAGAAGGCCAGGATTTCTCTTCTGTGGCATGGCGCTAGAGACGTACGTGTTGTCCCCGCCCTCTTGGAGAAGGATCCATGGTCTCGGCTGAGAGTACTGCGCCATGACGTCCTGGATGTACGCGCCAGTATGAAGCGCGATATGGGAAGCTATCGATCCAAGCTCAACCGGCATCTCAGCAGCGGTAATCTGCGCCGCGTCGTAGGCATTGTCAACAACCTTTGCGAAACCGAGGTACTTGGCCATGCGCTCGCGTTCCAGCGGCCAACTTGTGCCATTAAGTACGGTGGTGCCCATGGCACAACGGTCCAGCCGTGAATAACACTGCTGTAGTCTCTCTGCATCCCGATGAAGTCCCGCAATGTGGCCTAGTAAATAGTGGCCATAGGAGTTGGGCTGAGCGGCAACTCCATTGGTGTAGTTCGGTACCAGCGTCGCGGCATGAGTCTCGGCCATCTCAACGAGCCGCCGAGTCGTGTCATGAAGCTGTAATGCAAGTTTCAGTACTGCATCGCGAAGGATCGCCGTTGAAACGGTAGTGAGCATGTCTTGACTAGACCGGCCGGCATGGAGAAGGGTGGCTTCAACGCCAGCTACTTGGATAAGAAGAGGCTCGAAGGTTATGACGAGACTTGGGCGGGGGGCGTTGGGTTCGTTGCCGGAGTCTAGCAGCTTTTGGAGGCCACTGGCGATCCGACGGGCAGCATCTGGATCCAAGAGCCCTTCGTCCGAGTTGATAACGGCGCTGGCCTTGTTGATCTCACCCAGCCAGAAATATGTATCTCGGCCGGGCACTGGGAGGTCCTCAGGGCTGACTGCGTAACCCATGATCACTACCTACAAAGACTCGGTAATGGAAGCGACAATGTGTGAGGGTGAGGGACTCTGAACTTGTCGGCAGTCAGTTTCTCCAAGTTCTACTCTTGAGGGCATTTAGGCGGACAAGTCCAATTAGGAAGTTGGAGATAAGAGCGGCGGGGAAACAATATAGTGGAACCCAAAAGGCGATGCACCCGCCGCGTCTATCGGAGCCGACTCGGTCAACGAACCGCCTGCGCCAAGGTCAACTCCGTTGTGACTTGTGAGCAAATCTCAAAAGCGTTCGGTGGCATTGGGATATATGTACAATGCATTGGAAAATCCTATGCATTGTCTATCGTTTAGCGACACAGATTTTCCGGGATGATTCTTTCTGACACAATGCTTTTCAGGTACGGCCCGAATCGCCCGTCGCATTATGGCCGTGCGACATGAGGTAAGCCGGATGAGCGAGGCAGATACCGTTGCAGGGTACTTGTGTGAAACAAGTACCCGATTTTGTTGGCCAAAGGCAGCAGCGCTGTATTACAAAGATGTCAACCTCGAATAAGGGGCTCAGTGGAACTGGAACTTGTATCCGGAAGATGGCCGTTTTCTCGTTCCCATCACGTCGTGTGCTGAGACGCGTCAGTCAAACAGCCCCCCCGCAAGTATCCCACAACTTCTCCCGCTAACGACCCGGATGGATCTAATTCGAGCTTGCGAATGTGTTTCTATTGGTCCTCCCTACGCCGATGGGATAGGGGTGGATCGTCATCGAGACGGAGATCACCCCACCACCCGCAGCACGCTAAGGCCAGTCGACCGGATATCGTGTTGTGTGCCGCTTGATTTTGCAAATTGCAATCTACGAGTCCGCGGCTTTACTTGTATGTTTGATCAACATTCAATTCTCCGTAAGGCCGCGGATCCAGTACTGTCGATAGTACAGTACGAAAAAAATGATGCTAGACTTGAACAACCAGTAATCGGTAGCAAAGTCAAGATAGACTACACTCACAAGGCGAGTAAACATGTATCTTGCTTGATGTATTGATTAAAAACGCAGCAAACATGTAAAGCAAGGTTAGGACCATCTTGGACTTGCGATTTAACTTTAACGGATGATGAATCTTTTAAGTACTGGTAGTAACGCGTATGTAGTCAACCTGTTTGCTGTGTTGGATCCGAGACCATGGGGTGGGTTGCAAACGTCAGCTGTGGAGAGACGGAAAATTGAAAATGGACCTGCAGCTGCACAGCCCCTCGACGCTACCCTTTAACTTGGTGTTTCTTCCACCTATCTTGGCGGATCTGCCGGCGTCTTTTGTGTCGTCGATGCCAAGCTCCCATTAAGTCGGCATCGATTCAATCCTGTTGTCGCCCCAATACGTTATAGTCTTTTCCTTGGCAATCTGTGCATTTTACTTATCAAACAATCAAGATGAGGCCAGCACTTCCGGCGTTGACTGTGGGCTTGAGCTTAGCAACCGCTGCCACTGCCGTCGACGTTACATGGGATGATGACGGTAAGTTCTTTATGGCTGCCAACTGTCTTAGTTTGACTGACCTCCGTTAGAGTCGATCAAGAGCGCTGCAGGTACCGTTGCCTACGGATTAGTCAAATACTATACGGGAAACAACACTGGTGATACGCCGGGAAACCTACCAGATCCCTATTACTGTAAGTTCTATTTATTATCGACATGGTTTTCGACCTTCCGCTAATCTGTCTCAGGGTGGGAGGCCGGTGCTATGTTTGGCACACTAGTTGATTACTGGTGGTTGACGGGGGACGATTCTTACAACACTATTACCACACAAGCCCTGCTTCACCAAGTCGGTGACGATGATGACTATATGCCTCAGAACCAGACTTTGACAGAAGGGAATGACGACCAGGGCTTTTGGGCAATGGCTGCGATGTCGGCAGCTGAACATAACTATCCTAACCCCCTGATGATCAACCGCAGTGGCTTGCTCTAGTCCAAGCAGTGTTCAACGAGTACGTCAGCCGCTGGGACACAGACAACTGTAGCGGGGGTGTGAGATGGCAAATCTTTACCTGGAATGCTGGTTATGACTATAAGAACTCCATCTCGAACGGGTGTTTCTTCAACGTTGCTGCGCGCCTGGCTCGCTACACTGGCAACACTACCTACTCTGATTGGGCTGAAAAGGTCTGGGACTGGGAAACCGACGTCGGTCTACTCACGAGTGACTATGAAGTCCTGGACGGAGTCCACTTCGAAGGCAAATGCCCCAGCTCTACTGACAGTACTAAATGGTCCTACAATGCCGGGATCTTCCTTTATGGGGCCGCTGTAATGTACAACATCACGGAAAGCGATACGTGGAAAACTCGTGTGGACAGCATGCTGGCCGATGTCAGCAAAGAATTCGTACAGAACGAGATCCTTTACGAGGCGTATTGTGAACCGACTGCTCAGTGCAGTCAAGACGCACAAAGCTTCAAGGGATATCTCGCCCGATGGCTAGCAGCCACTTCGCAGGTTGCCCCGCATACTTCAGACTCCATTAACAAGCTGTTATTGTCAACTGGGAAGAAGGCAGCGACAAGCTGTTCGGGATCTCCTGCTGATGGCTTCAAGGGCCATCCAGGCACTGCTTGCGGTTTCTCCTGGCTGAATGGTACTTTCGATGGTCTGGTTGGTGTAGGACCACAGATGAGTTCTTTGCAGGCGATTGTGTACAATCTCGTTTCCTCAGCCGATGCACCTGTCACTGCCAGCACAGGAGGAAACTCTACGGGTAACGTCAACGGGGGCAAGAGTGACGACGGCAGTTCCACAGCGAATCCCACCTACGCGCCGATTACTACTGCAGACAAGGCCGGGGCGGCTATCCTAACTATTTTAGTTACCGCTGGTGTTATCGGTGGTACTGTTTTTATCTCTGTTTAGGTTCTTGATGGCTTGTATGATTCTAAGCATAATTACTTTTTCAAAAAGACCAGTTGCCGATCTAACTACGATTCAATTGTCCTTCTTTCACGTCTGTGTTTCTTTTGGAACAGACACTGAATCGTTTATCAAACCCAATATGATTCCATACGATAAAAATCTTGAGCTAAATTATAGCAATTCCGTTCCGGAGTCGTGTTGTATTTGGTCGTGGTAGAGTGTGTGTCTTGTGAAGTGCGAACAGTCGTTGGGAAGAGTCGCCAAAGAAAAACTTACCGGGGCAGTCTGACCTACGCGACCGACAAACCCCCTTTGAGACAAATACTGGGGAAATTTTATATTCTATATTCTACTCCAGGATGATATCGCACTCATCTTTTCACCAATGTCCACTTGTCACAGTCTCTTTCCTCATTCTACCCGTCTTTTCCACTTCGGACAACAGTAGTCTCATTGAGGTATTGAGCAGTCATTTAAAATCAAAAACGGAACTACGGGCCACAATCTGTGGTTGAGCCATTTCCCATATTGTAGAATTGCAACAGTTCTTTCCTGGAGTTAAAGAAAATCTCGGTCAACCTGGGTGATGAGTCCTTTCTCATGCGTCTGTGGCAGGCCCATAAACAATTTTGTTATATTTATTCTTATTAAATCCAAGACGCTGTTTCATAGGTCTTCTGGAGAACCTCTAGTCATTGATTCAGTAATTGGTCGAGCTTTCAAGAGTTGTTGCCAGTTGCGACACCCCAGAAGTATGCCGACCAAGACCCGAGAATCAGCATGATCAGAACGCCGAAGCAAGTCTGGGAAATCATCTTGTTCCGCGCTCCATTGTCCTCATAGAAGGCCCTCTTCCTCTCGTTCCACAGCTCGCCATTGGCAATGCGCTGCTTCCTGGTCCATTGCAAGTTTCCGAGGTCAATGGACCACCAAGACAGTGCAACCAAGATAATGGACACCAGAACGGACGCAGCGGCGAGAACGACGTAGACGATGACGACGTGGTCGTAGCTGTCATTGTCGGCATCTTGGATGGCACCAGTAATGACACGGACAACAATGTTCATCCTGCGAAACTATTAGATCATGTTTGAAGTCTCTTAAGTTCCAATTCTTACGCATTGTTCGTGGCGATCTTGACAGCGTAAGCGGAGCCAAAGGTCGAACCGTGCCACATGGAGGTGCGAATGCTGTCAATGATTGCGGTAGGGCCAAGACTGTAGGCAATCGCGTAGATACCAAAAGCTGCGGCTGTTCCCTTGGTATCGGTAGCCCAGTTGACCAGGGCCATTGCCAAGAAGACTCCAGTACCACAAATAGCGACTAGATATGGTCAATATTCTGGTCCAGTTGTTAGGATGAACAAGTAACTTACGCAAGGTAACACGGTTGCCCAGAATGTCGATGAAAGCACCAATACACGGCACTAAGAAGAAGCCAGCATATTGTAAAGTTGCAGAATACCAACCGGCAGTGATAGAGTCGGTCTTGAATCTCTTCTCAGCCAACTCCGTGGCGTTTTGAGTGAAGACAATAGCGGTGCTCGTCTCAAATAGCGTAAACGCCATGATGGCCCAGAAGACCCAAGGCAACTCCAATATCTTCTTCGGCTGGAATTTTTTGGACTTCTCAGTGAGTTTCTCTCCAGTGGCCGGATCCATGACATTGCCGAACTTCTTGTGAGCGATTCCGTTGAAACGGTAGAAGACAAAGGTAAGGACGTTGGTGAAGACGTTCATGAACACAGAGACCCAGAATACCCACGCGAAGTTACCGGTGTTCTTCGCAATGATGTTGGCTGAAGACTTGCCAACAAAGCCTCCAATCTTCTTGATACCGAGCTCAAGACCCAGGGTTGACGCGAAGCCATTGTTTGGCGAGAACCAGGAGCTGAAAACCTTGTACTGCGCAACTTGGGTCGCGATGTCGCCAAGGGCAAGGATGACTCGGCCGCCAATCATGAGCTTGAAAGAGCGGACTTGAGCGGCGGCAGCGACAATGATGGATCCAATTGAGTAGATAATGTTGCCTGTTGCCGCATTAGCCACCGTTCTCAATCTACATGCCATTGCATTGATGCAGGTATCAAATCACACTCACCGTATACCATGGCCCCAGCACCTCCAATCCTGTCCGTTAAGATTCCGCTAACTAGAATCAGGGCGGTAACCATGAAATCTTCACTAGCCTCGAGCAGCGCAAACTGCTTGTTGTTGATGTCCAGCTCCTTCTTAAGCGTCGACTTCAGAGCGCCGGTGATACCCGAACTCCATGACGAACCGAAGCTGATGCAGGAGATAAGCACAACCGCGATGAGCTTCCAGTACAGCGGAGGGTTCGGCTTCGCATCCTCAGCTGTTGAAGAGTTTGACGATTCTGGGAGTTCATTGACGAGGTCTTCGGGCTGCTTCTCCGCGTGGGACTCGAGATCTGCGCGGGCCGCCATTGTCGCAGAAGTTCCAGCCGTTCGGTAACACTCTAATGCAGGAATGAAAAAGGAATAGAGACCGGGGCGCAAGTTCAATGCTACCGTAAAGGCAGCTTCCCGCTTCTTTAACTACCCATTAGGGTCGGTCAGTGACCGACTCCCGGCGATAGGAGCCCGAGGTCGGATCGGACCGGGACAACGAGAAACGTTTGACGCTGCGAATGCAGCTTAGGGCAATGGAGCATGCCCATCGAGAATTTTTCTTCCCCATTCAAGGATTACGGCGGCCTAGTGTGCCAAGGAGATGATAGCCTCGGAGATGCATCTGATAAGATTAACCAAGTTAAAAGGCCCTCCACGAGTCAGGGGTCTGCATGTCCAGGCCAATCTGTCAACTCAACCGTTCGGATCACATCCACAGCGGGGTTCGTCCGAAGTGGAGTTCCACGCGCGTTGCGCCGTTTTGCTTTGACAGACCCCATTCTCTCGGTCTCTCTTTCGGCCTGGAACGCCATTGTTGGTACTTGCGACCGCGCCATTGGAGCCAAATTTATGGTTCGACCTACGGTATGGTTCAATCTGATTACCGAGCAGTCTCGGCGCTATCCATAGTGTATATCCTGCCACATGGGTCCAAGGATATGTGATGTCGGGGATGTGTTGCCAGGCCTTACTACTGGTTCACCAATCAGTGTGGCACGGCATCTCACCATTTTACTTCTCCAAAAGGTGCACAAATGTTCCTGTAAGTTTTCACAAGAGAAGGACTGTCGTCTGGCAACAGTATTCCAAATTTCGAGGCCTTGCACAGAAAGCTTTAGAAGTAGGATTGTTATTGGAAGTGAGTAAAAAAAAGAAGAAAAAAGAACCTATAACATAATCGCATCAATCACCATGGAGGACCTTCAACAAGGCTTGGCTAAACCGTTCCCTCGATTGAGCTAGCCAGCTAATAATGCCGAAGCTTTTAGCTGGACCCAATGCGTGGTACGTTTGAGGAAAGAAGCTACGTGAGAGACAATATCTTCTGGCTTGTATCTGTGACACTAGGCCTATACGTTACTTGCTTCCAGCATGGTGGCCGTAGCCGCCACCCGATGGTCTGCCGCCTTTGGCCGAAGCTGCGGATATCTGGTCCTTGTGGCCACCCTTGGTGTTCGAGGCATTCTCGCCGGTGCCGGTGGGGCCGTTCGGGTCTCCCTTTTGGCAACCGCCCAAGGTATTGCCCCACTTGTCGGGGGTGCTGCTGTTCTCGAATGAGTTACGTTGTTGCTTTCCCAAGAAGACATTGTGTTTGTTTGTATTGAACGATCTTCAGTCTGAGGGATGGTGGAAAGATAGGTGTGTGAGGTTTGAAGATATAGAATGTGGATGTTGTAGATGCAATTGATTGTGTTCTTTAGTACGGCAAGATGGCAAAACTTCTTACAGATTCTGAGGTATTTAAATCTCTTTTGGAGGTGGTTGAACGCAAAAGTGAATAACTGTTACGTTGTAAGAGAACTCTTCATATATCTCGCCCCTGCGGGTGGCTGCAAAACAAGCATTCACTTGACGTTTCTTTCTCTGCTAGTTTAAAACGAGGAGGCTTCCCACTAGGGTTAATCATAACAATTCCCGTGTGGCTTCCATTCATCACCTAATTTCATATTGTTCTTGGTGTGTTTGCACCTGTTTCCACTCTGTTGCTATTAACACAACCTGGCGATACGGAAACAACCCTACTAACAAACAACACTAGCACTATTGTATTTGGGGCACTTCGACTTGCATCCGTATTCGCTGTTGACTTCAAGGACTTCTCCTATACGTCTTTGACTGCCATGATCTGATATTCAGCAGATGTCGGCGTCGCGCTCATGATTTCGTCCTCCCCGGTCCTCCGACCCGTCTTCGACAGCATTTTGGCCGGCTCATCGGCTCCCTCCGCTCAAGTGTTGTCCGTACATGTCCAAGAGCGAACTACTATAAAGGCAGTAGTTAGGGGAGAATGTGGCCACGTACAGTTATTACTACGATGAAGCACCACTCCCGAGGATGTGATGGGTTCATGGTCATAAGTGACTCGGACGAGAATCTCGAGTTGGCCACCTTAGAAAACAGGGCGGTAAATCAAGCCTCAGAGAACAGGGGGAAAGGCCACCAGCAATATAATTCGAAGCTCAGTAATAAATTGATTAATCGTGTCAGGGTGGATGATGTGTCGACGGGTGACATCTTTGTATAGACGGAGATCACATAAGATACAGAATAAAAAAAGGGATAGGATTGATTATGGATATACGCTCTTTGTGTATTGATTCTGAAAGAGAACTGTGTATCTATGCCTGATAAGAACCAAAACACTTTAATTCTAATAAGCTGATCGAATCCTTCTGCGCTTGCTTTGTGTTGACTCAAATTCTTCTTTGATCTTGTCAAGCATGCCGTCAACCGTCAACACGTCGACCGCAACACCAGCAATACTCTTGGCAACCATGATGGCCTTGTAAAATGCTGGCCGACTACCTGCAGCGACTTCAAAAGCAGCAGTGTGAGTTCCCCCAGATGGGACGCTGCCGTTCTCGTTGGCAATACCAAAGTATGGGCTAATAGTCGGAAAGTCGTGGCTGATATTGCCTTGGTCAGTGCTACCGCTGGGGTCACGAAGCTTATCGAGATCGGCATTCGGGAGCTCGCCGCCTAGCTCTGTGAAGTATTTCGCATAGGAGCCAGCGAGCACGTCGTTGGAGACCATGTTGGAATAACCATATGGTCTCATCGTAACATTAAGTTCAGCGCCGGTAGCTAGTGCGCCGGCATTGAAGCACTTCATGACGCGTTCCGTCCACTCCTCAAGGGCCTCATCATCAACGGAGCGAATCTGGAAAGATGCTTGAGCCAGCCCGGGGATAATGTTTATACGCGTGCCGGCCGAGGTGATGATGCCGTGGATCTTGTCCGTGGACCGCGTCTGCTGGCGGAGGAGAGCAATGGCGTTGTTAGCGAGGACCAGCGCGTCTTGAGCGTTGACGCCCTCCCATGGCTGGGCGGCTGCGTGTGCTTCCTTGCCGTAGTATTCGACTTCGAAGCGGTCGGTTGAAGTAGTGATCATGTAGGGCGAATCGCCGCCGGCTGTGGGGTGGGTGATAAGGGAAATATCAATGTTGTGCTCGCGGAAGGCACCTGCTTCGAGTAGTTTGACCTTGCCACCAAGGCCTGGACATATCTGAGTTAGCTTTGGTTGTGTAGCAGGGTCTTTAGCTTAGGGTAAGTTTACTCTCTTCGGCAGGAGTACCGAACAAGATCACCTTCCCGGGGAGGCTCTCGGTACGCATGATCTCAGCGGTGGCGAGGGCTCCGCCGATGGAAGCCGTGGCAATGAGGTTGTGCCCACAGGCATGCCCAAGTCCGGGCAGAGCATCTGTGTCGGCATATCAGTATGCGGAGTAGTTCGAATCATTATGGAATGAATGACTCACCGTACTCTGCGTTGAAGGACACAATTGGTCCATCGCCGCTGCCCTCGAACACAGCAACGAACGCAGTGCTTATGTTGTAAATGGATCTCGTCACGTTCCACCCATCTTGAGACTCCATAAAGGACGTCAATAGATCATGTGCTTTAAACTCTTCATATCCAAGCTCAGGGTTTTCATGAATTTCCTTATTAATGGGCCACAGATCATCGACGATGGACTCGATGTAATCTGATACAGCTTCAAAGTATGGGCTGGTATCGTAGCTCTGACGGGGTGGTAAGGAAGATGCCACAACGGAGGCTGCGCCAAAAGCGACGAAGAGTCTTCTAGAAGAACCCTGGATCCCCATTGTTAGTCGATTTGAACGGATACCAAGATGAGTAGTCGGCCGAAGGTTGTGAAGCAAAGGTGCTTTTCCGAAAATATGCCTAATGCACTAGGTCTCACCTCACCTCTTTAAGTAATCATTTTAGTAGCCCCCATACCAACAACACCGTGGCATCCTTATCTTATGTTACCAAGTTCAGGTATCTGGGCACACGTATGATTATGCAGCGAAACATAATGACGGATACCATAGCCTTCTTCAACGCGTCTTGGCTCCTGCGCCGTGAGCCGCTGCTCGGCTTCCAGACTGATGTCGCTATTCGCTGGCTTGGTTGGCAGCGGGGATTGCGGGGAAGCGACCGGCTTCCCAAGAGGCGAAGAATCTCATATGGAGACTGAGTTACCTCGACTCGCGATGAACTTCCAGCTGATCGGACTGTCTTAATGCTATCCTCGCTCACAAACCGGGGCCTACAATCTTGGCGGAAGAGATAGCTATTTAACATTACCTCCGATATGTCGTCCGAAAGGCTTGGCTTAAAGGTCGGAAAAGTCCGATCGGACTAGACTGTGCTGCAGACTACGTGTCGTGGTTCGCCTTGGAAAACCCTATCCACTCTACTCCTGTCTTCCTCCGTAACGCACTAAGCAATGGTGAGGGGAAATGCTGGGGATGGGATCCCACCCCGCCACGTAGGCTCAATGATTAGCCGATCTGCATGTTTTTGCCGACGTGTTATCGACCGATGGTATTTAACGTGAGTCGGTTACACAGGTGAATATTTTGTTTGGGTTGCACGCTCGACGTCGGGTTGCTGAGTTCAGGAATGTGAGAGACAAGTGCTGTGCCGAGTCTTCTCGTCTATCATTAGACCTTGATAAGTTGAAATGCAGTGTTAAAGTGTCTTGAACGAGCAAGAAAAATAAACAGCTATGACATAATAGATATTCCTTTTTGCCCGTGTTTGTAGACCTGCTTTGTGACCAGTTAGTCATACGCCCCTGTAAGTCGGCTTTGCAGCGAACAGCAAAAGCCACCATTCCGCCTACCAACGTTTATCTTCCTAGTCAAAAACTCATCAGCTCGATAACGTCCATCTATGTTTTTGTCAGCGGCGCTTTCACTTTAAACAGGAGATCCAAGGACACTTTCTTGTATATATTCTATCTCGGCGCTGTCATACCCGCCGTGACACTCCCACGAACTTTCTTATGCGCGCCAGTATGCCTTGGACTGTCAGATTTCTCATCCAACAATTCGCTATAATCATCGTAACCCTTCATAGAACAATATAAATCAATACCTTGGCAACGAAGATCCGGGCTACGCAATCCGATCAGGAAAGCGAGGCGAGGCGTTCAATAGTCAGTAGTCTCAAGACATGTGAGACGGATAACTCTCGTGATCTGTTCTCGGTGGCCTACAGCCTTCGTATGGAAAACAACGCGAATAATGCGCTGGCGCGATATGAACCTTCAGTTCCTTCTATACTCTGATTGGTGTCGCTGATGAATCATGTGTCCTACTGTTTTTTAGTATACGATGCATCGGGGACGTTTAAGCCAGAGTGTCCGGAGCGGCTCGGTTGAGCTCTAGAAGTGTTTCACCCTCAATGTAAGGATAGATATCGCGTATAAAAATCACAGAGCACCAAGTCGTTGTCAACATTCACCAATAAAAACTCTCCAAGATCTGTTCCTAAGCTGTCGGTGTTTCGTTCTTGTGCAAATGTGGACTGGGAGGCTGAGGCAGAAACGATTTTCTTCGTCATCTCCAATTGCCAATGATCAAAAGTGTTGATGCAATCAATGGCTTCTGCCACAGTGGAGAAGCTCTTCGTTCAATCGACTACATCATTGAGCTAATTTTGAACTCTCCTTCCTACCAGCTTGGTTGTGAATAGTTACGAAACACCCAGTGCCCTGTTCGGAACACTAAAATGAAGTTAGATAAAGGAAAAGAAAACAGTTGAAATGCAAAAGCCATGTAGCTTTTGAAACCTCGGTTTAGTCGTCCAATATGGGAAACAGGCGACGGATGTTGTATTGACGCATACGTGCGTTTGGCTTGTAGTTTTAGTCAAGATCCAATGTAACCCTTTGCCCTTGACGGGGACGTTGCTCCATGCCAATATCCCAGGCCAAAATGAGCCGAGAGACGTCTATCATTTGAGTCTTTGCATTCTCTTTCAAATGAAAGAAAGGACTAGCTATCTTAAGAATTACATAGCCTGCGGCCCTTTAGGTTATACCCTAGGCACACAGTTGTTTATCTCGTTATCGGGTAGTTTGACGTACAGCACGGATAATTTGGTCGCAATCATACGTCTAGACAGATTGTATGTGGCGACTTGTCATCAAGTCAACTGTAAACGGTTTCTTTATCAACTAATCCAGGCGCGCTAAATACTTGGAAGTGGGCAGACCTCGGTCATACAATACCGCTGCCTATGGTGGTCCAACATGGGAAGACCCATAGAAACCTGATCAAGACCGATGAAAAACCCCATACTGGTTAGAATGAGGAGAGGCTCACAACGCCCGCTTTTAATATAACGTTAGGGTGGGTAACTGTGGGAAGACGGCGTGGGGTGGTGGTCCGACTGAGAACGGCCGGAGACAGGGCAGCCTACCATGCTGCCCTGTCAAAGATTGCCATGTTGGCAGAAGAGGTCAAAATTGATGCCGTCATAAGGCCCTCTTGTGGTTCAATAATCAGAAGAAACGACCTGCAGAAGCATGTGCCACTGGCTTGGTATCTATGTCATTAACGAAACGAGCAAGGGGCACCACCAACTCGGGAATTTGGCCCGAGAATGTGAACCTTGGATTTGGAGATAATTGAGAAGAGAGTGACCGTACCGCATGTTTGATTGCGTTAAGGCTGAACACTAAGAGGTTGTCAAATCCTTCGAACCCATGATCAGACCTTTCAGGCCTGAGATGGATAGGAGAGGAACAGATTCACAACTCTTACATAGATGACGCTTGTAACCAGCGCCTGACGATCGGCTCTCTCGTGGCAGACGAGAACGCTTCAGCTAGCGGAAGTTTCCTCCTGGGTCTAGAACTACTTGAGATTCAGACAATCAAACCCGACAAACTGGGTTGTTGCGATCCATGCTTCTTTTGATGGTGTCTTGTTCTTTTTTGGGGAAATCTGAGAGACATCGAACTTGGGCAGCAAGTGCTCAAAGCTCCCCGTCCAAGGCATCTCTTCTCTGGGTCAAATCTACTTGTTTTCAGGCTAGCCTGGTAGGCATTTTGGCCCCCTCCTTTCCTCAGATCTGCTGACAGAAATGTCCTGTTTTTTTTTTTTCATCCAACGCTATCCGGGGAACCCGGAGCCGACCAGCCACCCTAGTCTGCGTAGCACCTCCAAGCGGTCATGGATCAGAACGGCTCCTGTCGTTCCTCAGTTATCCCCTCCAATCACAACGCGCCTCGGCGATCCGGTTCAATTTCTCACCGCGAAACGTTGCGTCCAAGGTGCCAAGTAGGAGCCTGATTTCCTAGACCCACTGTCAGCGAAACGCCACTTATCAAGTGATCGGCCTGGGGATGGTGCGGTCTGGGGTAAGACCATGCCTGTCTTTTTGGGGTAAAGAAAATGCGGGGATGGCTCGACTGTCGCTTTTACTACGGATACACTAAGTAGAGTGAACCCATGGATGTGGATATGCACATCGGAGGAGGGCAGACCACACGCGTCTGGTACCGCCGCGTTGGGGTTAAAGTGGCATGGTCTAGTTGCAACCGAGGGACAGACCTCGAGGCAAGCAAGCGGGCCATTGAAATGCATGAATTGGGGCTTATAAAAGGGGACGCACGTTTGCGTTGATCTAGGGAAGAGTTGATCGCTTAGTTTCCCCAGATTCTAGCCCATCCACATCACTCAATCTCTCGGGTAACAATCCAAGACGTTGCGACCCTTATTTGCTAATATGACCGAGCCTACAAATCAAACCTACACACTCGATGACGAGAAGCGAGACCTCGCCAGCAGCGATGCCGTAGAAGACGTGTCTCCCACCGTGATAGCGGCTGTTGCTGCCCATGAAATTGCTAACGAGGTCGAGGGCGGCAAATACTCGCCCTGGACCAAGTCTATGTTCCACCTATACGGAGTGCTCTTTGTTGCGTACTGCTGCGGAGCGCTGAACGGCTACGTCAGTTTTTTTCCTCCAGACTTAATGATTGAATGGAAAGACTGACGAAAAAACCTCAGGACGGATCCCTCATGGGCTCTCTGAATGGAATGGAGTCGTATCAGCGGACATTCGACATGTAGGTACCGCTCATTGACAAGGTGCTGCGTACTTGGAATTGATGGCTAATAAATGGATAGGAAGACTTCGGGTTCATCGACCGGTATCGTGTTCATGATGTAATTATGATAACTACAAAGATGAACTCAATCGCGGAAAAGTGTCTGACCGAAAAATAATAACAGGTACAATGTTGGATCAGTTTGCGCCATCGCTTTCACTGGACCCGTCAATGACCTTCTCGGTCGCCGTTGGGGAATGTTCACCGGTGCAGTCTTGATCATTGTGAGTCTGCGTATTCTGTGAGGCATCGCGAGCTAGACTGACCATAGCTTAGGTGGGCACATGCATTCAGTAAGAACGATTTAGGTCACCCATCTTGACGACACACAACTGACACAGACAATAGGGCTACAAGCAACGCTGTTCCGCAGTTTCTTGGAGGCCGATTTCTTCTTGGTTTCGGTGTCTCCTTCTGCTGTGTTTCCGCGCCCACATACGTGAGTGAGTTGGCTCACCCCAAGGTACGTAGAAATACCCTGTATATGAATACTCGAGAGGATTGGATTTGACAAATGAACAGTGGAGAGGAACACTGACTGGGCTCTACAACTGCATGTGGTGAGTATAATTTTCCATCTTGTTCCCGCAGAACGTTTCTCCGATAACTCCTATGTTCACTTTCCCCTCTATACTGCTCATCGAAGACGCTTTACTTCAGAACTAATGCAATACAGGCCAGTTGGTGCCTTTATTGCGGGATGGGTAGCATATGGCGCATCGTTTATTCCCGGTGATGGGGGGTGGAGGGTTCCTGTTTGGTGCCAACTGGTGAGATTTCCCAGTAGAACCATATTTTTTGTGTTACATCTGACATGCAATAGTTCACTTCCGGAATTGTTGTCATCTTTGTGTTCTTCCTACCCGAGAGTGTAAGCTCCCAGCTGTTTTCATACATTGAAACCTGCTCACAATGTCGAACAGCCGCGATGGCTTGTCGCCAATGACAGGCACGAGGAGGCAGCTAAGATCTTGACGGCTCTGCACGGAGAAACAGACCCGAATCACCCTATTGTGCAACTGCAGATGAAAGAGATGTTGGCCCAAATATCCAGTGAGGCCAGCGACAAGACATGGTGGGATTACCGAGAATTGTGGAATACCCACTCTGCCCGTAGAAGACTAATTTGTGTTTTGGGTATGGCTATCATGGGACAGGTATGAGCTTCGCAAATCGCTTGAGTTGTTCAATGCAGCGGATATTGATTAGATTGTCTCTAGGCTTCAGGTAACTCCTTATCGAGTTACTACCTCGTCACCATGATGAACACTGCCGGTATCACCGACGAGAAGAAGGTCCTGGCCCTCAACGCTGTCAATAGCATTCTCGGTCTCCTCGGCAGCGTTATCGGTGCTCGCCTTACCGATCGCGTGGGCCGACGACCTCTCCTGATCTATAGCATTCTATTCTGCTCCATGACATTCGCTGTCATGACCGGAACGTCTAAGATGGCCGTTGATGACCCCAGCAATACCAACGCCGCAAATACCACGATCGCCTTCGTCTTCCTCTTTGGTGTCGTCTTCTCTCTGGGTTGGACCGCTCAGCAGAGCATGTACATTGCGGAAACCCTCAGTACCTCCACTCGTGCCAAAGGTACTGCCGTCGGTAACTTTGCTTCGTCGGCAATTTCCCTGGTTCTTGCGTACAGCTCCGGTCCCGCGTTCGAGAAGATTGGTTACTACTTTTATTTGGTCTTTGTCTTCTGGTGAGTGGTCAATTGCTATTCCATGGCAAGGAATGGCACGAGACACGCATGCTAACATCAGCTACTAGGGATATTCTGGAGGCTATCTTCATCTATTTCTTCTTTCCGGAAACCAATCACCGTACGCTTGAGGAGTTGGAGGAGGTCTTCTCTGCAGCAAACCCTGTCAAGAAGAGTTTGGAGCCTCGCAACGCGTCAACGGTGTTGGAGACTATGAAGGTGCCCAACGAGAAGTTTGTGGATGCATAGGTCACCATCGACCATTATCAGCACTCAAAAACTCTCTGCGCCTGGGCTTTCGGCAAGCTTAAGGCTTTGCGATCTCCCTGATCATAGTAAATATGTAATGCACGATTCATGCCAAGTAGTGTGTCTACTTCTTCATGAATGTTAGTGATGCCAATTGCCGCATAGGCTTTGTTGACTAGGGTTATACTGATCTATTTGCACCCTGTAATTTAAATTCGGCACTGATGATCCTATTCCAAATGCCATCGGGTGAGATCAGAATTGGTCTCTCCAATGGACAATTGGGTTGAAGTGATAGCTTGTTTAAATGCAAAAAAGACGCTGGACGGAATTCTGGAACATCAATTCATCTATCTTGGTCCGATACTGTTAACTGTCATACACTAGCTAGCACATTTTACCGGTACCCAGTGATCTAGATGGCTCGCAAGGTATGCTCGCAGTCATGCTTATGTAATATTTTCTACTTTCTTCAATGGTTGACCTGTTTTCGCGGTATTCGTCACTGCCCAGACCAGATAATGACGTTGTTGAGAGTCCATCTATTTATCCCTTCCTTGATGACGCTGCATAACGACGAGAGGCCGACGAGAGTGTTGGCATTGGAAAGTCGATGCTGTTTCTCCACAGAGGTTTCTCCAACCTCAGGCCTTGAACAAGAAGGATGCACTTTTTCCGCCTGCAGGTCCCCCATTTGGCCGGATATCAGAGGTCTACCGATCCTTGTCAACCTCTAACAAAAGGCGGCGGAAAAGGCTAAATCCACTCGTAATCCCGTAAGTGTGACGGATTATTGTCCACACAGATATAATTACCACTACTGGACCACGGAACGCATGCACTGGAAACAATCTCAACTTCCTCCTTATTTTCTTGGTCCTCCTTCTCAGACGATAAAAAAAACCATAATTTCTCTTGAATCCTTTTTAGAGTTCGAAAAGAACTAGACTCACGGTAAAGGCAAACCCTCACCTCGAATCAGAAGCCATGTCTCAACGGGGGGTAATCCGGGACATCGTCATCACGCCAGTGGCATTCCACGACATGCCATTGCTGAATAGTGTTGGCGTACACGAACCGTTTGCACTTCGCAGCATCATTGAGGTTATTACGGACGATGAATACGGATTAGGCGAATCGTACGGCGACTCAACCCACCTCAGCCGACTACAACTCGCCGCCGATCGCATCAAGGGTCTTTCAGTCTACAACACAAATTCCATCTACCAAGTCTGTGTTGAATGTTTGGAAGGTGACACCAGTACTGGCGGCGACGGCATGTCTGGCATGGTGACTACGGCCTCGGTAACTGACAAGGTTTTTTCCCCATTTGAGGTTGCGTGCCTCGACATCCAAGGCAAGCTAGCGGGCGTCCCCGTGAGCGATCTCCTCGGTGGCCGCGTCAGGGATAACGTCCAATATTCGGCATATCTATTCTATAAGTGGGCTGGTCACCCTGGAGAGCCAGATGACGAGTACGGCGCCGCCTTAGATCCTGCCGGAATTGTGAAGCAAGCACAGAAGATCATTGGCGAATTTGGATTCAAGGCCATCAAACTTAAGGGCGGCGTCTACCCGCCAGCACAGGAGGTCGCAGCTATCAAAGCATTGCATGCAGCTTTCCCAGGTGTACCACTGAGACTGGATCCTAATGCCGCTTGGACGATTGAGACCTCCAAATGGGTAGCCAAGGAATTGGAAGGGATAGTCGAATATCTAGAGGATCCAGCCCCAGAGATCGAAGGTATGGCAGCGGTGGCTAAGGATGCGTCAATGCCGTTAGCGACGAACATGGCTGTAGTCGCCTTCTCTCACCTCCCTACCTCAATCTTGCAGAACGCTGTTCAAGTGGTTCTATCCGACCACCACTTTTGGGGTGGCTTGCGCAAGTCTCAAACACTAGCCACCATCTGCGCGACCTGGGGTATGCGGCTTTCGATGCACTCCAACAGTCATTTGGGCATTTCACTTGCCGCCATGACTCACCTGGCCTCTGCAACACCCAATTTGGACTACGCTTGTGATACCCACTGGCCATGGAAGCCTCGCGACGAGGATGTTGTCATTGATGGAGCTTTGAAGTGGGCCAACGGTGGCTTGCACGTTCCAACTGAACCTGGGTTGGGAGTTGAGCTCGACAGAGAGAAGCTGGCGCGTCTGCATCAGCAGTATCTAGATTGTGGGTTGCGGGAACGGGACGACACTACATACATGAGAAAGTTTCAACCAGGTTTTTCCGCCAAAATTCCTAAGTGGTAAATAATTCAACATGTCAAGATTACCTCTAATGCCCATCTTAGGTTCACAGAAGTCAAAAGCCTTGATGAAGGCTATAATCTCAACTATGCACGCAGAGTATTGCTTGGTTTGAGTATATTGAATTTTGATCAGTGCCACTGATAGAACAAGACAAGAAAGCAAAAGCCAAGGGGGTGTTGGAACGGGACAGGGTTTCCTGCTCCCATTGGGGTGGTCTTTGCATTGCTTTCTTTTGTTACCTAGCCAAGCATAGTTCGATCAGGGGTATAGAAACCTCTCTAGCCTGGAAAACTAAGATCAGACACAGACAATCAACACACACTCAACATGCACTCAACCGGCTTTCTGTACCAAAGGGAGAACCAAGGGAACATCCTTTCTGGCTTTCGTGATGACCAACACCCTAACCATACCTACACAACAAACCTGGGAGTCTCTATTTCATCCATCGCGTCGCGGCTATGCATGATCAGATCAGGTTTGAACCGATCAAGACAGCTGATTCGCGACTGGCTGAAGGCATCTTGCGTAGCTATCGGGGCAGGTTGTGGTTGCCCACCGAAGCGCTCCGCTCACTATAGTCTTGATCACCCCGCACGCTTCCAGTACCCATCTGTATTCAACAGATGAGGATCGAAAACGCCGAACAGGATTAACCTCTCAGCCAAAGTATTCGAAAAAATCGGTAATTCCAGATTACGTCCGCGGCTAGACATATGAAGCTGCATATGGTCGATTTTCTTAAGGCAGCGGGTTAGCCCCAATGCTGTTCCAAAGCTGTTCCAAAGCTATTAATACAATTATTGTCAACTTGGCTACTTAAAATCATATTAAATGTTATAAATTTTCCTATAATACTGCATTTCACGTAGTCCAAAGTTCTTTTATAATACCTAGGGACAGACCGAATCGTAACTGTTAATCAACTTGTAGACAAAGTCAGATAGAGACACAGTCACTCGACCCTTTATGCTTCACACAGTACTCGTACGAGAATTTGACTGAATTTCCATACTGTTATAAAGGCAGCCTTAAATTTTCCAAGTCTTATTTGTAGAGTTGCTTCATACTGCTTACTCAAGGTTCAGACCCCTATTGATAACCCCACTAAGAAACAAGAAATCGTCTTTGTGTACGGAAATAAAGTGCAGATCCAGATCTTCTTTGTCCTTTTCGCTTTGGGCGCCTTGATAAGCTATTTTACACCCGCAGGTTTTAGGCAGACGGGCTCTAATTTCTCAAGTTTGTAAGTCAATTTATGTCTACATGACAAAATGTTCATCACCCACAGTTCTGACCTCAACGTTGTGGCACCCTTATTTGCCAATACGTAGCAATTGGCTCAGCTGGTCTTGGTGATCTAGTCCTCAGTGTTTCGGTACAATGTTATCTAGAATCTAAGAACAAAGATAGGTGTTGAATGGATTCTCTCTTCCTGAGAGAACCCGTTTGTACGATCGTACTCGGGTTAAAAGTTAGGGTGAACCAAAGATATATTTTCCGTGATTATCTTCCTAACTACAAGACTTGGCTTTCGTACACAAGATATATGATCTCGCACGTTCCTGAGTCAGTTCGGCATGAATATACTTTTGATCCCCTCAATGGATAACCGAGAGCCGAATATCCAGTCTGTGCCCTCTGCCATGATGTGTGTCCCTGAGTCGTGCGTATCGTACAACCAGCTAGTGCTGTTATTCCAACAATAGGTAAATTTTGAATGGGCATCTAATACGCTAAAATATAGACGTAGACCCATGTTCTAGGAGTATTTGGCTCGTTGGACTATTCTCTGTTTCTTGGCAAAAAAAGACGTAAAGTACTACTATATCACGACATTTTTGTGTATTTTCAAGTGTTACATTATCTAAAATGTAAAATAGGTTTCATTGGCTCTATCGGTATGGCACTCATAAACAGAAGCGCTTTATTTTCAATGCATGTACTACTTGGCCCCAATTCAAAAGCCAGGAACAAAGCACATAGTAAAGTATGGAGATACAAGGCATCCACATGAGTGGACAACCAGTGACTGTGTTACGTCTACAGTGCAGTCTAAGGTCTACCTTCGCCGTCGAGCTAGCCCATTCTTGATTGAAAAGCGACAGGTCATTTTGCTATACCAACATGGCATTTTCAGTCTTCTATAATACAATATTTATGACTACATAGTTACCGCTGCCCTAGTAACACCTGGCATTGCAAGCTGACATCCAGAATGATTAGTTCAATCTAGAACATCAGTCGACGTGAACCAAACACCATTGTCAAGAACATGGCTGCGATTGTCTCCTTCTAGCTTCCACTGTCAGTGAATTGCGACTTAATAGGAAATCAATGTGCGACTCACGGGCCCACAGCATTCAAAATGATTGCAAGTTTCCGTGTTCTTAGGACCAGCAGCGGTTGAGGGGTTTCCCGGGTTCATTCTCATGATCGATAGAAGGCGTAATCAAGCCACTCATGCATATCCACCGTATTTAAATCCACCTCTGAAATCTCCATGTCCGAAAGAACTTCGTGGAGCTTTTCTAGGCCACTGTGCTGCCTTTCTTCCCATACTCCCAATCGACTCTGACGCCTCGCATCTTGTGCTCGACGAATGGGATCCTTCTGGTGATACCGTAGTAGTCTGTCGAGAAGGTTGTTCAGTAGAGACAGCACAATGCAAGCCAGCCACCCTTTTGCTGTGAATGAATTGGGAAGAAGGGTTCCGCTTGCCGTGACGCTGCTTCTAAGCCTCAACTCAGCAATTACATCGAACCATGTATGGTTACCAGTGTTGTCCATTGTTGCTCTTCACAAAGAGACGACGGCAATTTGATTAAGAGCCAAGGAATCTGATAAGGTGATGTAGAAATCTGCCCACACCAAAGCGAGTAAGGCTGAAGAGTTGAAGCTACGAGGAGCTGTGGTTAGTCTACAGTTTTTCAATTCGAGCGGCGGAAGAACGGAATGACCGGACGGTTCGGTCCAATCACGTGCTTTATGACACGGTCACACGCGGACGTCAAATGGGGCTGGCGGAGAAAGTAAGCTTTGATCGGATGAAACAACAAAGGTTAAAAGTCTGTTCGAGCATTCCAGGTAAGAGTAGGTAGACATTGGACAGCACCACTGAAGCTTTGATATTTCCATCCGATTTTGATTGATGAATCTGCGGGGTGAGATATTGTCAATGGTCCGTGCAATACTAACAGTGCCCAAAGGGCGTCTTGAAAAGTGGCCATAGCTGCTAACACAACGACAAGGAGACAAAACTTCCTCCTTTATTTCTCTGGCACCGGGTCCAGCGTTTCCCTGGTTTATAGCAAAAGAGGACAGGTTACCCAGCCCCAAAGGAAGTGGTTGTGACTTGGAAGGTAAAGTCATATGAGAATCCCCCCAATTTCACTACTGTGGCGATCACAGCAGTATGGGAGCAGTTATTGGGTATGTGTGGTTTACTATAGGAAGTGTAGATACAAAGTGAAAAGGTGGATGTATATACCCTTGGCAAGGGGATGCAACACGAAGTCGGCCCGTGATACCGCGATAACCACACTCACTCTAGACGAAGGAACGAAACAAAAAAGCTTTCCTGGAACTGGCAGTATGAACGTCCATGTGGCTCAAATAGGTTCACGGGAGATACCCTAGACTATTGCGTTTGTAATCAATATTTTACCCCCCCCTGCAAAAAACCAAGAGCAAGGATGAAGGTTAAGCGGCTGACCGCAGGAATGTCTACCAAGAAATATAACTAGAACACTTCTAGAACATCGGAGCGACCAGAACAGAAATAGCGGCACACCTTTTGGAAAGGGTGTGATCCTGGCGTACGAAACAACCGTATCTCTGACATGAGATAGCAAAGATAAACACTTTTAGTTGCCCTCCTAATGTCGAATGTCTGAAATCCGACAATGATAGACTAATGTTCATTGTCTATCTGATTAACCGGTCCTACCTGTGTGTACCTCCTATCTAATACTGACGATCTTGCTATAGTAATCAGGATAATTCGCATTTGTAAGGCCCAATTTGATTCAAAGATGATAAGCAAATGAATTAAAGGACTCACAGAGCCCCTTCACTGTGTTACGGTCTCTCTGAACGGCGATTTTGACAGTACGCAGGAAGACACACCATCGCTTCAAGGACGACCTCCACATTCATCTCCTCAGCCTATTAAGTCATTTTTCGCAATCACGGTATTAGTTAGAAGAAAAGACTGGCTTAAAGTTTCCATCAAAATGAGCGAAGTTGCTGGGTGACAATAGTCTTTTCCTGACTGTGGCCAGGAGAATCTCCGGAGGCTGCGCAAGGTCCGGGACTAATGTGATCCGGACTTAGTTTTCACCAAGCTAAATTGGGGCGTTTGAGGGCTGTACAAAAGAGAAATTGAAAGGCGGGCATTCGTGAATCGGGTTTTTACAATTTTCTTGTTAGTGCTAGGTTCAATCAAGGATGATGCCTAACATATCTGATCCGCACGGCTGTCAACCACTAGCACTTTGCTAATTACAGTACTTAGTCAAACGTTTTGTAAGAGCAATTAGGATAACACAATCAACAGCTACAGTGGGGTGGTGAGACATGTGAATTTTAACGATACGCTTTGAAGTGACCCAGAGCTATTAATAGGTACCCTCCGTAACTGCTGAATGGGTTGTCCTTATTGCTGTTGCAGGAATCATGACCTACTATGAGTGTCTATTGAACCACTACTCGAACTACCTTGCTAGCTCTTGTTGGTATCACGCATAAGATTATATTACTACGCGCTTCATATATAGACTCATCCTACAGCAGTCTCTCACAAGGCGAAAATCGGCAATCATTACAAATTGTTTAATACAATAGAGCAATAGTACACCCGGTCGATGCTCTTGTGTGGGCCCAAAAAGTCAACTCGCTTGGAATGTTTGCAAAGTCGCCAACAACCTATGTTCCTACTGACATGTTTCCAAGGATAATGATTTGACCATGAGGGCGTTGCGGGTGGTCGTAATTGTTGATTTGCATGAAGCAGGCGATGAAAGTGTCTTTGAGCGCATCAATAGAGGATCTCATCTGAAAATTATTACCATACATATTTGAACTTGATTATATCCTCGAATTTTATCCACTTCAACTCATAAGTTCTGTTCCGCAAATATGCAGTTTCGTTGTACTAGTTTTGACTTGTAGCTGGTGTCCTGACTACTGATGCCTTATTGCTGATTTCAATTCCGAATCTTTATCTTTACCAGCTATGTCTATTGGCTAAGCCAGCCTCAAGGAAATATGAATAATATGCGAGGAAGCAGATCGATCTCCAAATCACCAGCTGTTTATTGACACATTTTCTTTTGCATAAACTTCGAGTTTTAATGTATTGGGTAGAGATTGATTTAAGAATACGCCATACGGGCCGGTGTAATGTATTCTGACATTCCGCCGGGTTTCAAGTGGGAAGACTGGTCCGCGATCGATGAGATACAGAAGGAGGCTACTGGTATCTTGGCAGACAACTTGAGGACTAATGGAGACTCGAGCATTTATTGATCACAAAGTTGACAAGGGGCATTTGGTATTTTGTAGAGCCATAGGATGCATGATAAAATAAACGTAGCGCGTTGCACAGATCATCGACGAATCCAATAACACTCAGATGCCTGTTTGCGAAAGTTTCATTATCAGACATCTGACGACATAAGTCATCTTTCAAGAAGAATGATCATAAGGCAAAAATAAAGACTTCATTCTAGCATAAAGTACGATTATTGTTTTAATTGCTCATAACCGGTTCCGTTACGTGTGATAACCGATATTGACTCGAATAAACCAGTGTTGAACCTGATACTTCGACGTCGACCGCCGCCATCCAACAGGATCGTCTTATTTATGATAGGCGTCGACGAAAGGTGTATCAATGCAAAACTTTGTTATGCACCATAGAAAGATATGTGTTTACCTAAAGCCGACAGATGGCCACTGGGACCAGGAAAAAATGAACCGTTCGCCAGGCCTTGCTTGGCATTTATTTCAAATTAGAGATACCTAGTGGCTACGATCGGTTTATTATTTTACCACCGGGCGTAGTGGCAGTCGATTCGGTTGTCTGCTTTCGTACGGCGCGCGGCTCCTTACTTGGTTCGGCCAATGACTCGGGTTTTTTTGGTTCTACGGCGACAGCAAGTGAGGATGTTCAGGGCTTTGCTCCCGTCTCCCATTTTGCTACCGACCAGGGAGTCGCATTCTTAGGATGCAGATTGATTGGGGTGTGTTTTGTCAATAGATCTGAAGACTTTCCAAGTCACAACGAGCATGATTGGACGGTGATCGGGATTGACTGAGGTTGAACAATCACGGTCTGAAATGCAGTTAATGACCAACATTAGTCTACACTACTGTGACAAGGGCTACAGATCTGAACCAAGCACCACCAACTCAGCATTCTTGTCATCTTTGACAGATATTGAATTGTACCATGTCGGCAACGAAGCAAACAGTTTTGGCGTCTTTGCACGACTACGTCCGTACTTGATTCTATAAAACCATATGAATAATGCTGAATACTGTATAGACACAGCTTCAGTTAGATGTCATTATGTGCCGCTCATATCTACGTCGAATAATGAGCGCGAATAATTAGGCGTGCGGCACGTCCCCTTCAAGCATCACTTGACTGGAAATGGGACAAATTCAGTTCGATAGCAACTAAGATCGTATTTTCCCTATTGCGAAGTACACAAACTTTTCAATCTGCCCACTGCTTTTTCCCTCTTTTTCCCCGTTACGCTGCCAGCTGTCCGGACTTAACCCCAGTAGCAGCAGGTAGGAAGAGCAGCGGCACGACGCAACTTTTGTCAGACTACGAAAACCGAGCCTGCGACAGAGCATAGAAAAGCAGAGAGACGAATAAACAAGCCCATACTCCCACATCAAAGTTGCCTTAACAATCCCCAGGAATCCCCATTGCGAAATAAGTGACCAGTCACTTATTTCGCAACATTTACTTGGCGACACCGATGCAGGAGAAGGACCTCTTGAATGACTCGGCCTCAAGGGCAAAGAGACCGCCGTGGTCCAGGAGGGTAGCGGGATTCCAGATCTCGGGCTCGAGGCGGCCGAGAAGACCAGTGTAGCTCGTAAGACCCTGAGGCTCGGTAACACCCCATGGGTTGCGGAGGACGATGTACTGCTTATCCCCGATGACGCAGTAGCCCAGAACGGAGTAAGCGTGGTTGGCAACGATGTTGGCGCCGTGGTACTCGCGGCCGGTAGCGTATGTGTAAGCAGTCATGGGGTTAATAGTCTTGTTGTTGACGCTGTTGGCGCGGACCAAACCCAAGAGGGTGTGGGCTGAGTGGTTGTCGCACATGTAGTAGTGAGGGGTGCGGCCGTTGATCTGGGCCATAGCCTTGATGGGGTCACCGCAGTGGGTCTGGGTGATGTCGGGCTGCTCAGAGTTCGAGCCAGTGATCCACTTGGCAAAAGCCTTCTCATAAAGCGCGGGCCAGATGTCGGCGCCGTCGCTGGAGCGGCAGTAGAGAGGCTCATTGTCTGAGTTGTTGATCGGAATCTCGTAGTTGACATCGACAGTCTCAGTCTTGTTGTTCTGCTTCCCGCCCTTGTCGTGGAATTTAACGGACAAGAAGCGCTTCTTCTCGTTACCGTGGGTGTGAACCCGAGTGGCACGGTTGATGGCGCAGGGATCGGACCAGAATACGGAGAATAGAGCAGAGACAAACCAGCTGTTGCTGGTGCAGCCCTGAGTGGGGTCGTCGAACTGGCGATTAGTCTCGCGGCGGTCACCGATGCGGAACATGGTGATGTCGGAAATCAGGCGCTTGTTGACGCTCTGGAAAAAGTAGTCATACATGTCGCGCCAAGAAGCGTTGGGTGGCTGCCAGCGGCCCTTCTGCATTCTGAAGGGGGTGACGAGCTCGTTGATGGACATGGTGACCTCTCGGTTGGAGACGGTCTTGCCAAGTTCGTGGGCGTGGAGAACCAGACGAAGCTTGCCGTTTTGCATGCGGGCAACCTTGACCCTGGCCTCCTTGAGGTCCTTGAGGCCGACTTTCTCGAGGTCATCGAGCCTACGGACACCCGAGAAGTCAGGAGTCATGAGATCCCGCTCATTGAGGATCTTCATGTCCTTCTCGTCGTACATCTCAGCCTTCCTCTCCTTCTCGTTCAGCCTCATGCCGGCGAAGAGAACAGAGTGGTGACGCATGTCAAAGAGCTCATCGTAGTCGGTCTGCAAGACGTTCTGGAGAATTTGAGAGGCCGCCATGGAGTGACGGTCAATCTTGCGGCCAATGAGAGCCTCGGCAAGGGCGTACGGATTGACGGCACCAACACAGGGGTTCTTGGGAGGTGAATCGGGACGAGGACCCTCCTTACTGAAGTCGTGGTCCTTGTTCATGTCGACGAGATCCTCGTAGTCATCCATAGTGCTTTGAGAAGAAGAGCCAGGCTGGCTCTCAATCTTGTGACCAAGGATTGCCTCGACGAGGGCGATGACATTGCTGTCTCTCTCGGAGCTGCGGATGTCGCCCATTTTGATTTTGAAAGTTAGATAGAGTATGTTGTAATAAGTTGAAAAGATGATGTGATTTGTTGTAAGAGGTGAGAACTGTTGGTCTTTGACAGAGAACCTGGTGCTTCCTGACTTCTATCTTTCGGTATGAGGAAATTGCATGGGGATTTATACCTTTGTTCGGCCCTGCTAATAGAGCACACTTTCCCTAGTTGCTCTTCTAAGTTCGGCGTTGCAAGGTGAATCATGAATACGTAAACCTCAACTCAAACAGCTTTGGAATGTTATGCGTCTTCGCTATCGGTGCGAAGGTTTTGCAAGGTCAGCCGTAGAGCAACAAGATACATTCGTCAGATTAACAATACACCGACTCTGAGACTTCTCAAGGTCGTACATTGTGCTTCAAAAGACGTCTGTGATGTTCTCATTGTCGTACCTATTTCTCAACACGGACGAACTATTGGCCTGAGTGTCAAGTAGCAAAGCCAATGAGACCATTGTACTCGATAATCCTCTTCACATGTGAATAGACCAGCCTCAGATGCTGAAGCAGACTTGACGCTAGACGAAGTCAAAGACTCACGAGATTTCGTGCCCAATGTCCGTGAGGGGCACTCCAGCACGACCTAGACCGCTACAGAACCACATGAGTTAAGTTTATGATGAAACCTTGATTGAAGACCTTGTACAAAGGGCAATGAGGGGTTGTATGTTGGGATCGGATCTCGAGATGATGTTCCCGGCGTATGCAAGGAGTTGTCGTGAGGCTGAGATACAGTCCCAACAAACTCAAGGCTGCAGCTACAAAGGTAGATATGATGCAGGGATGTCTCGGCGGCGGCAACATCGGAAGAAGCTGGGGAAGTGCCCCGGTTTGAAGTGACAACCGAGCTAGACTGTAAAGGTCGGCAATGTCCCAGGTCTATGACAAGCAAGTGTGTGTCAACGATGCTACCGACGAAAAGCAGACTTTGCACCCACGTGGCAGCGCGGGCTTGTGGCGTCTTGCTTTACTTTCCCCATGATGCACATATAGAAAGAAAATGGTTGCAAATTAGCTTTCAGGACCCCTCATTCTTGCATTGATTCTCCAAATCCATTGGCTTTCTCTCTCATCCTGCATTCTCCTTGCAAGAGGAACATCGAGTCTGCGACCTTAAACTTCACATAAAATTACTATTCGTGGATGATTCAAACAACCGACGATAAGCGGAATTGATCGATGCAGACACGATGTCTCGGATTCCTCAAGTGCCTGATCAGAACAAGAGATACAAGGTTGTGATGAAAGTTGCGGGGCACTTGCGAGGCGCGCGGGGTTGAAGTCTAAGCTCCTGGGGCTTCCTGAGGCTTTTGGATGCTCTCCTCACGTTGACATATCTGCCGTTTCTAGCCAAAGATGCGGTGTGAGGATGCGAGATCCAAGCAGACGATGATGACGGTGGTATGTTCCCCGGCCTTTCAGCATGCAGCTTCTATCACTAATCATTGGAAAGCGCATCCGTATCTCATACAGGAATAGCTTAAATGATCACTTTTTCAATTATTTACAGGCCAACTTCTCGGTGTTTGATCTCCAGCATCCCATCTTGCGCACAGTAACCAGACCGATCCTGGGCACTGACAGCATTGGGCAGTCAGTGGTTATATGGACGAACGAATGCATTGAATGACCGCCCGCCGAAGGATCGTATAGTTTGTCGCACAGTTCAAAGAACTGTCCAAGTCCAGAGTCTTTATGGTGATGAAAAGAATGGACGGTGTCTCAAGAGGCTGTCGGGCCGGGCGGGGCGAGCGGCCCGAGCCCGATAGGGCAGGCCTCCGCCCGGCCTGAAGTGGAGACCTAAGCGGGGAACATTGCCGCCCAACCGCCGACCGAACGAACCGGGAAACACGGGAGACTTAGGATGTTTCCAATGTCGATTCTTTTCTGCGGCTTGCTCCGATACTTTGCATACGAACTCGAACGTCCAACCGGAATTTGCGGCTGAGTTCTGTGACGAGAGAGCTGAAACTACGTCAAAGCAGCTTGTCTGCCTTTGCTGTGGGCTGAGTTGCGCGGCCTGCAGCCTTGATACCCCGCATTGGTTCTTGGAATGGTATTGCGAAAGTAAAACGACGGAAACAAAGTTCTCTTATTTCTGCGAAGTATTTGGAGAAGAGTCTTATTTAGGCTTGGTGTACCGCGAAAGTGGGCCAGGTTTCAAACGCTAGGCTCTCAAATCTTCAGTTAGGTATCCCGTTTTCAATTATGAGCCACTGCTGCAGTGTTGCTGCAGCAGACTGTCGGCATTGGACTCTTGCGCCAAGAACCATGTGTTCTGCGTCTTGCGTCGGCTGAAGATTCAGGACTGTAAAATGGAAAAAAGAAAAAAAAAATTTGAAATAAAAACCAAAAAGATGTGCTTTCAAAACAGCCGCTCAAGAGTTCTCGCATCGTTCAGGCCAATACCGATGTTGCTGGTTTCAAGTTAATGAGGTCTGGATGAGAATGAAGAACATCCAAGGTGGCTGGTAGCTTTTTGATGGCTCTTTCAATTACCAGGACTACGTATAGCCATATTTCAAACCCCCAAACAAGTACTCACTCTCCAACATCGTGAATGAAGACAGAATCAGTTCATTGCTGCAAATCTGCCTTCATGATTCCTTGCTTTTCAAACCAATGAATTTCCTTATTGATACATGAGAGAATTGGTTAAAGTCTCTACTTTCAGCCAAAGACCTTGCAGATGAGTTCTCTTTCTTGAATGTCATGAAATTATCACAATGTCAGACATGTCTTTGAAAGCCTTAAGATGCAAAGTAGAAATGAGCCCTCATGATGAACTGGGTAATATGAATTGCTTATATAATTTCAAATTACCAAAGATCCCATGCCGACTTACTCAAGGCCATGGGCTACCCAAAGAACCCATGGGTAGTTCTCAGCATTCGCATGGGATCTTTGGTAGTTAAAACAAAAGCTAAAGGGCGACAAGAAGGGGTAAGAATAAAGTGGACCCAGTCTCAGCATTGGTCTGTGCTTTCTACTGTGGTTTTTATAAACATAGCAATACTAATTACAACATGATTCATTTATACGTAGTGCCTCTTTAGCTAGACACCTCTAGGTATCATGAATTGATATAGACTGGATCTAAAATTATTTCTGGCTTCTGCGAGTTAACCCATACTACCCATGGACTGTCCCCATTTTGGATACCTAATACTTATTACTTGCCCATCTAGTCATGGACTGTCCATACTTTCTTATGGGTCCAAAAGGTATAAGCCCGTCTGGGTGTCCATGAGTAATTCCAAGCCCAACACAGAGTCTTGCTGGGCTTTCTGTCCATAAAACTAGCCTTATGGTTAAAGCTAGTGATAAAACACATATAACATCCAAACTTCGCCTGAGATGCTTGACCTGACCCCTACTTCCTACTTCATCTTGTGCGCTTGGCCTGACTAACGACCAATCATCAGCTTGTGACATCTCAATGCCCGACAGCTATTCAAGTCCTGCTGGTAACATTGTGAATGTGACATTGTAAATGGAAATACAAGTCACTCCGTTGATGTGCGCTAGCTGAATTTAGCCATCTTATGAAAACTATTCCCTTGAGTGATAGGCCCAAGAACACTTGCATCGTTTTCTCCAAAGTGATTGTTTCGTTCCGAAAATGAATCAACAGTATTGAAAAAATGTCAAAAGATTTAGTTGGTCTGATTTGATGTTCTGCAGCTGCGAAGCATATGGCAAAAATTGGAAGAAGTCGGTTATTTTGTTGCTAAACCGAAAATATTCTCTACTTCAAATGGGAAACAATTCATCATCTAAGCACCCTCTGGGATCTGGAGTTGTGTGAGATCTGCCGTTGCAAATCCAAACTTCAAAGAACCACTTGTACCAGAGTACACAAGCCTTATTATTGCTAGGTATACCATGGTTTGTTTTCTGCTCCTTAATCCGCTAGTATACTTCTAAGATTAACAACTGTCGCCGTGAAAGGCGTCAGCAAATGAGCACCTAGGTTATCATAAGTCTCGCCTCCATAGATCACGAGGTGGTCTGGATATTGACGAAGGATCTGGATAGCTCTGCTGTACGTTGCGCCAGCCGGTGTTGCGTGTTCTTCCCACTCGTTGATATCGCCCCCAAACTGATTTGTATAGACTTGGCTCCGATCCGCGTCCGAAACGACGATGGTCCCATTAGGACCCCCAATCGGGCTCCAAACTACATAAGGGCTAGCGTTTGGCGCAGTCTGGTTCTTGACCACGATAGGTAAGCCTTCGGAGAGCCGGAAGTCCAGGGGACTATCGGCAAGTCGGTAGTACACTGGGTAATTGACTCCGTGCGAACTGGAATTTCCCACAGGAAATTCATGAACAAGAATCCACTTCTTGATGGGAGGGATCCAAGCAATCACAGTCATGCCGGGGCGAGCGAGATACTCGTCATAGGCTACGTCGTCCACAACCGGACCCCATGTTCTCAAATCCGTTGAGACTTGGTGAGCAAGCTTCTGACCGTGATCGGGATCCCGCTGGTCTGAGTAATAGCAAACTAGAGAGTGGTTATAGACCCTGATGAGCTTGAGTTAGGTTTCCATGGCACGATAGGTATCGAAGATCAGAGAGGGGACACCAAGCGTGCTTACAATAGATATGGTTCCCAGACGGGCGTGGCGCCGTTTGTTGTGTTGGGGCGTCCACCCTCAGCCACGTGGCTGACAAACTCCCAAGACCTTGCTCGGTCCGTACTTGCGTAGAGGTCGATGCGCGTGCCGTTTTCGCTCCAACTGTTGCCCGAAGCCAGGATAGTACCTGCATCGTAGCCCCCCAAAGTCTCAGTCAACTCAGCGAGCGCAGGCTGCGCGGGGAAACCCCAGCCGTTCTGGGTGTCCGTCACGTTGGAAACCCGTTCCCATTTTGCACCGCCATCCTTGCTCTCAAACACTGGAAAGAAAGCCGGAGTGTGGCCTGAGAACGAAGCTGTTGCAAGAATAGTACCATCTTCCAGCTCGGTGTAACGAGGATAGGTGAGACTCTCGTCCCTAACTGGCTGGTAGATAGTATTGTTGACAAAGAAGCCATACGGTGATGGTTCACAAGAGCCGGCGGCAATAATTGAGGTGCTCTGTGCCAAGAAGGCAAGCAAAGTTATGAGAGAGGGCATCTCAGCGGGCCCCTTGATAAGTTGGCTAAGGTCAAAGAATGAAGGATAGCCTAGGGACACAACTTGTAATGGCAGTCCACTGATCCTAACCTTCAATTTATAGGAAAGCAGTGCAAGAAAGAACCTCGGTTGGGGTTATACTGGCACTACCGTAGCTTTCTGATAGGTCTCTGCGCCCGCCTGAATGATCCAGTCCAGGTCCGAAGCCACTCCTCGGGTGGCGGGAAATGGCTACGATTTCCTGCGATGGTCGATCCGCACGAATCGGGAGCTTCAGAGTTCTCTCGAGCAACCCCTCCTGTGAACCCGACCGAAAGATTTGGTCGGAGTTTGAACTTTTTACGCGGTGTGGAATCCGCAGTCCCATTGGTGACTTCAAGGTAGCTAACACGACCAGAGCCATTTCTTGCGCACTTTAGCCCTGAGAGTGTGACATTCATCGGCTTCTGGGCTTGCTGCCCGCAAATCGACATGTAGTAGTCATCAGAGTCTTTTAAGCTGTTGCCAACTCTGACTTTGATGCCCTTCACATACAAACCAATATAGGCGCTACATATACCTGGGGCCCTCATCAAACTTTGTACACATGGCCCGGCCAGAAAATTCATGGGAATCCCTGTAGAGCCGCTCAGAGACACACCATAAGTGACAACATCTGACCTGGGCGCAAATGGAAGGACATTTGCGGTGTACCGATCTGAACCATTCCTCGCCACGCTAGTTATTGGTCGAGTAATGGACGGATCACTACTCAGGGTGGTCGAGTCGGTCAACGAATCCTCACTTGTTTTGGTTTACGCATACCTCGTATGTTCGCATTCACGGTGCCTTCAATTCAGGCTGATGCCGCCATTACTCACTTCCCGGGTCAGTCATCTCCGAAGGAAGTGGACATCGACAGAGGCTGATGATGTGCAGAGAATTGTGTTGGCCCCGCTCAATTTAACCGTGATGTTGGCTAGTCCAAAATATGAGGTGTCCGGGACCTAGGCGAGTACCAAAAGACCAGTACGCTTAGCATTAATGGAGCAGCTCGTCCAAAACGCCATATCCTCCAATCCTGAGGATGCTATCTACGGTATATATCAATTTTACTTCGCGGTTTTTGCTCTCCAGGCAAATGGTACATTCGGACGGTCTACCGAGACTCGTGTTACTCTCAACCACAATCAGTCAGGATTCGCCAAAGTCGAGACCCCCTGGTTGCTCCACAATGAGGTTGCAAATGCCATGTGAAGCGTGCAGTCCATTGCAGGGTCTCGGAATGCGGGGTTGGCTTGCCAAGGGTTACGATAGGTGGTGGAGAGGCTGTTGCTGCGTTGCTTACTGTAACCATGAACTGCGCTGCGCTAAGGTGAGCGGGGTAAGCTAAACAACTTTGCAATCAGACCACTGCGACGATCATACACGTGTAGTTTAAAGTAAACGGGAATTACAACTAAGCTGTCAAGATATATTAATTCGCACCAACAATAACTACTAGGGTTCTGATAATGTTACTTGTATTCGCACAGATGAGTCACTAGTCAGTGGTGCTCATATCCTCAACCTCGTTCGCACATTTGAACATGATAGAGCGTAAAATGTATATAGTACGTCAAGGGCATTTGCTTTCAGACATTCCTTAAGTGTATTCCCGACAACGGTATCGAGTTATGCGGAATGAATCCTCCCTTCGTTTTCTGTGCTACCCAATTGGAATTTAATTCAAGATACATGAAATAATATACAGTGGTTACGGAATAGAGTAATAGTCGTCGAGATGAGAAAAACCAAGCAAAGTAGGAAAACAAAGCTCGCCCTCATTTCTCATACCATGTAACTTAACCCTCGACGGTCTGCTTCCTCCTGATGTGCGCGTCCTTCCAAACTTTGCGTTGTTCTCAAAGGAACTACTATACTGGCCCATCATTTCAGACACTTGGACATTCCCTACTCTCTGACCTTCCTCTTCTTTGGTATGTTCTTCTGTGTTCTAATAGTCTCCGGTCGTGGAACAATTCTTTTCGCTCCGGCATTGTCTCCTTACCTCTTCCTTAACCCTATCGACCTTTGTGTCTACCTTTGCCGAAATTTCGTTAATCAGCAGAAAGGGTGTGATACTCCACACATGAATCCAGAATCAATAGGCCCTAATGTTCACGTTTGTAAACAGACCACAGCAGGGTCCAAGGAGCTTTCCAAAAGGCTAAAAAAAACGGAAACGAGAATCAGGTTAGGTGATATCGGAACTTAATTGAACCGATTAGATATTAATGAGCAAAACATGGGCTCCACCAGCCGATGTTTGTGTGCGTGTGTGCGCGTGTCTTACAGATATAATTAGCTTGATCGCGGAGAGACATTTGGTATTCTTCAATATCTGAGTTTTCCATGCCGAAAACGCTAGACATGAATGGCAGAGAAAGCTTGTCCAAGGTACTAAAAAGGGCAATAAACAACGTCCATCCCGCGTGAACTGACGGAGACAATGGTGACAACTGTGAGGCCCAGAATGACTCTGCCATTCTGGACAGTCTCAGCCGCATCTTCTCCTGCCTACAAGGCTTGCAAAATGCTAGCCTGTTGAAAAGTGAGGTCGTGGACTTCAGTAATCTATGGTGAATCAGAGCTTGTGTTTATGATAACGAGCGGGAACTAATACGTCTCGTGACGTCTTCTCCGCGGTATTGCGCAATCCCTCAAGCTCTCTGATTCGGCCGTTGGTAATGGAAAGTAGGTTCGAGGCTTGCATTCTGAACCAGTCGAACTTAACTTTTACTCTCTCAAGACCCTTCTGATTGCTAGACTTGGAGCTTTGTCCTACTTTTAGTGGCAACATTGGTGTCCGAGAACTGTGATCACCACCTTGGCCCGTTTAGGGTTGGAATTCCCCATGGGTACCCATTTGGGTCCTAACCCATTCGACCCATAGGGATTTGTTTGGGGCCGATATGGGTTATGGGTTTTGGGTTATACCCAAATGGGGATTCCTGTTTGATGGGTATGGGTACTAGGGGTTTCCATTTAATAAAAAAACCGCTAGTTTCCTCTTCTACACGTAAATATTCTAACCTACAGTATAAACCCATGTTTATCTTCTTGTATGGGTACGGGGATTTTTCATACCCATACCCAAATAATAAATTACCCAATTCCCCAAATACCCAAACACCAATTTCATGGGTTGGCCCATTGACCCGCCTCAACCATCTGGGTCCCCATGGGTTGGGGATTTTTAACCCTAGGCCCGATATATCGTTTCTCGACAGCCAGCCGGATCAAGGATGCTCTCACCATGCTCCTTGAACTTCTCAAGGGTATCTCTCTGTTGATTGCTGATGTGGATCATAATACTAAGCTCATCGATCACGATTTGGATGCAGAATGTCAGCTGCATAGCTGGGACGCATCTCGCTGCCCAAGAGGGGCACTTTTGGTATTACTTGCATCTAGCCCCTCACGACGGGATAACGCGGGTTGCCAGTAAGTAAACAACTGTCAAATGGAATTTTACGCAGTGATCAGATACACGCGGTGACAACCCCACTTTGAACGATCCTATAACTATCTGTGGACTAGATAGGAAGGCAAATGGCGTAAAGTGCTCACCCTACAACGTCAGCCGAACCCTTCCTTCCGTGTTACGCTCGTGAAAGCATATAATTACATGACAAAACTTGTAGGCAATCAACATCTATACTTACTTAACACATCAAGTGCGAATGGACCTCGTCTTTGCTGAAGCCGGGAATCTCTCTTTTGGTATCCATTGCTTCTACAAAACGGTCGAGTTCGCTAATGGGTTGAAAGTGCTAATCAACGAGTTTGTTTGGTCTACCCCCGCCCTTGATAAAAATGAGGTCCATTCGCACTTGATGGGATAGACCTCAGATCGTCTGTATGTAAAGTGAAGGAGATGATGCATCGAGATGCCAAGACTGGCATCAGGATACTCTGCTTTGAAGTAGTGAAAGTATAACCATTGTCGCAGCGAAGCATCATCAGCTCAGCCATCAAGGGCTTGCGACCGGTATGCCAATGCCGTCGTGGGTCCTCTTCCCAAAGGCAATACCAATTCGGTGTAGCCTACTTGGTCATGGACTATAATAGCTCTATCCCAACCGCAGCCTATCCCATCGCCAGAGTCTTCATGCTTTGGGGATCGTACAGCCAAAGAACCATGCAAAGCATTCCGAGTTTCTGCGATTCGGGAGTCGGACCAACGACCTCATGCTTAGACAAGCCCGGTGATGCCTTGCCAAGGCTCAGTTACGCCATCCAAACACAACGCACACACACACAAGGGAACAAAGGAAGGCAACGTCACCGGCCACCCTGCCTCCGCCAGAGACTATCTGCGGACACTCGTGTTGAGGCCAGATGGTGGGATACGTAGGCTCTTAGGTGGCGGCTCCACGACACTGTCAGACCCGACAAGCATCGGCCATTTCACATCTCATTGTGCGATAAAAGGGTCAATCTAAGCATCTTAGTTCGTCTAGGTCTCAATAAAAAGACATGCGTCAGCCGACATGGCGCGCAAACTCGACATATTCCAACCTCATTCGTGCATCACGGAGTCGACAACTTGTTGCTGCGCGTGCGCCCTAGCCTCGGCCGTGGCCGAAAAACCCGCTCCCGCGCCGGCCATGCTCATATAACCCAAAGTCCTCCTCTTCATATTGCATTCAGTAGACCAAATCAAGACGCCGAAGAACACCCAATCCCATGCCCCAGTCGGCAGATGCAAGTTGTTGCACAGCCCTAACCTGTACAAGAAGTCCGTGTCTCACTACGTTAAACAAATCCAAGGCACTTTTTTTTTTTTGCTGCCATCCACCGAATCCTCAGCAGCCGCCGCGGTATCTAACTGCGTGTCGCATCGCAAGGATTAAGATTGTAGAAAGAGAAGTGCCCGAGAAGAAAAGCCAGCGCTCCTGACGTATAAAAAGTAAATAGCACGTGGCAGTAAGCCAACTAAATGCCGAATTTTGCTTTTGGCGAATCGAACAAACACCGAGCCTAAATCATGTTTAGCGAAGCGTGTTGAAATCCATCTCTGTGCTTATGCCAGATAGACCTGGCATGTCGGAGTTTGCCCGCTGTAGAGCGTGGAAATCGCCCACGGTGCGCGGTATCGGTTGTTGTTGGATGGCGTAACTACTAGCACGCTGCGGCTGCTGCCGGGGTATGGAGTTCATCAGGTTGTTTCCACCCGGGCCCATAGGATGTGACGTCGGAATCGAGGCCGAGGCCAGACTTTGCTGCCCTTGGATTGATGGTGGACTGATGTTGCCTTGTTGCATGTTGTGATTGTGATGCTGGTTCATGCTGGGTTGCATCTGTTGCGGCGTCATGCATTGGTTCTGAATCAGGTGATGCGGCTGCTGCTGTTGGTGCTGATTGCTGATGGAGCTCGAGCCATTAATCGCCGATCCATTCTGGCCCATCGGGCTCATGACCATATCGGGCATCGGAGTGCAACCATAGTCGTTCATTCCGTTGTGGGGGTACTCCATTGGTGGAGACATAATGGCGGGAGAGCTAGCGAATGGCGAGTTCATATCCGCAGTAGTCGCTGGAGGAACGGAAGGCGCACCAGTAGACGAGGCGGCAATGGTGTTGGTGTCGCTGCCGTTGCTGTTCATGTCGGACATGCCATACTTCTTGTCGTAGTCGGCGGCAGAAAATTTGCGCTCGTACTCGGTATCCATCTGCATCTGCATCTGAGGGGGCGGTTGAGCCATGCCCGCATTGCCAAAGCCATCAAAGATGTCAATGTTGCCCAGGTTCGAGTTTTCGGGCGCGTTTTGCAGCATGGGGTTGGTCAAACGTGGCATGATTTCAGCAACCTTGTTTAGGAGTAGGGGCAAAAAGCGGTGGTCGCCATGGCGGAGAACGGCGACAATATTGAGTGTTTGATTGAGCTGCTCACGAGGGCCGACAGTGAAGGGGTCCCGGGCAGCGGGCTGAACAGCCAGGAAATCGGTCATGTTACAGCTAATCTCGAAAAGCTTTTCAATCTACACACTTAGTCAGCGAGAGGCAAAATGGCACATGCCATCGAGACTTACCAGTCCGGATCCCATTAGCTCCATGCCTTGTCCAGGGAAGTGGGATGCCAACGTCATCAGAAGCTCGCGAGACAGGTCAACAGGGTAGTTGAAGTTCATGTTGTCCTCGTTCTGCGAGTTCATGTTGCCGTGGGTCAACTGCCAGACAGTGCTCTTGAGCCACTGCTGGTTCGTGCGCAGGTCGGACAGCTGGCCATCTTGGCAAAGATACGTAGGCAGGACCTCGTTCAGTTGCTTCTGAAGGTTCGCAACGTAGAGGTTGGTTCGCGTCTTGTTCCAGACGGTGGTGAAGGCATCGTCAAAGGGGCGGAACAGGTTAACGAGCATGATGAAGCTGTTCAGCTGATGGCTGAGTGGGTCGCTAGGGTCATCGGCGGAGTTAGGAGGATTGATGGTGGCCTGCAATGTCAAAGGTCGCAGGCGCTGGATGGCGTGGGCCCTGTATGATGATCGCCGATTAGCACATGAAACGCAGCATCAAGGTTTGGGGAGGGAGATGTTACCTTTCCATGATGTAGAACAGCCAGTAAAGACGCCTCCTGCGCGACGACTCGGCATTTTCCCACTGGGGGCCGTGGTATGTCTCTTCCTTGCTCATGCCGTTAAGGTGCATCATGGTCGAAGCCTCTCGGAGGTAGAACCAAGCCTTGTCGTGAAGTTCGAGGCCGTGGTAGCACCCATAAATGAAGAAGTTGGTGGCAAGGGTGTTGAAGCTAAGGTTGTCAAGATAGTCGTAGCCCTTGCGGACCTGCAGAGTCTCGTCGAGGAGTAACTGGCTCGCGACAATGGTGGCACCGGGCATCACATCGAGGTTGTAGGGGTCGCCAGTCGGCATCGACATGCCGGGCTGCAGCATCATGAATGCGCACAGAGACATCATGAGGCAGTAGGTATCGCGGTTCTGTTCCATGTAGGGGAGTTGCAGGTCGATCTGGCGCCGGTCGAGGATGGGCATCTTCTCGTATAGGTTCGCAAAGTAAAAGTCGATACACTCCTTGACGAGTTCGCTCGAGAGCAAGCCAGGGGTCGGGGCCAGGCTGACGGGACCAGGAGGGTTCGGGATTCCGTTCATGCGGTTCTGGACCTTGGCGGACAAACTGGTCTGTCGTTGTGTTTCCCTCAACTCGCTGATGACCTTTGCACGCGAGCCCTTGGGGCCCTTCTTCTGTGGGATCGCATTGTAGGTGCACGAGAGCTGAGCCGTATGGCAGTTGCGACACGGGTTGACGCCGTCGCACTTGACCTTGCGACGATGGCAGGCGTCGCAGGCCCGCTTGACGGCCTGTGTCATGTTGGCGACGTGTGGTGAAGACGTCGCGGCGGTTTTGGGGGGGGGGGGTATCGGTCGTCGATGGCCGCTCCGAGACCCGAGTTGAGATTATTCCGAGCGAGAGCAGCGGGCCAACGTGGACGTTGGCATCGACAATGATGAAAGGTCTAACGGTGATTGAGTTTTGCGGGGAAGCCGGATTGATAAGGGAGGCGGTCGAGGGCTGCGAGGTATTCGTGGAGAGTGATGTTAGGGATGGAGAGTGTATTCGGCCCTTTCTGTATGCAGTCGCTGGGAACGAAACGCGGGGGATGGTGCCAAAATCCGGGGCTGCGACGCCCGTTACAACCCTCTCAGTTCGTCTGTGCAGAGGAGCGCAGCCACTCGCAGAATCCTGCCCTGGTATCGGATATCAAGTCACGATGTTGTCGTCGAGTCGCCTTGGAGCCGAAAACCTTCCGGTGGTGATTTTGCAAAGCAGGGGCAACTGAATGGGTTTCTCGGTGAGGGTCGGTGGAGGTGCAAGAGAGTTGGGAGGAGGGAGGATTCGAAGAGTGCGGGTGTGTGTGGGCGGAAAGGAAAGAAAGTGGAAGAGGTGGACTGCGACTGGGACGGAGGAAAATGGGAAGGAAAAGAAGGACAGGACAGGACAGGAATGGATGGACAAAAGTGGAGAGTGGGAATGGGAAGGCAAGGCAAAGAGCGGCGCAGGGGGGTGGGGTGGGTATGGGAGAAAAATCGAGAGAAGGAGAGAGCGACGAGGACAGGACACTGGAAGCTGCAAGCGAAGCGGCCAGAGAGGGCACACGGCGACATACAGGCGGTACAGGCGACACACGCCCCCGCTGACGAACGCTAGGCGAAACCTGGGACTGGGAAGGAAGCATCGGAGAAGCGCTCCTTTACGGTGCTGGAGTTGGGTTGTTTGGTGGGCTTGGCTACTACGCCCAGCTAGTCCGGATGCGGAGGAGGCGCTACTCTACTTTGGGCTTGGTCGCGGTTTGGGAGCGCGGGAGACAAGGAAGGAAAAAGGGCAACAACAGCCTGGGACCCATCGGACATACTGTGCGGAGTTACTGTGAGCCTGCAATGACAAACCGCACAGCACTGGCAGCAGCAACGTGTGAGCCAGGCACCAAAGGCCATACCTATGTACAGCAGTACCTTCTCCTGGCGTGCTTCCCCACAGTGACATGTCCTAGACCTACTCACTGTGCCCGCGACCCCACCGCGGCACACCACCGCATCTCTGTTCCTTCTGTTTTCCCTCACGTTCAAGGCATCTTCGATGTACCACCACCACCACCTCCTCCTCTCCGAAGCATCCTCCTCCTTGCTATCCAGTCTTATGATTTTCATTGTGCGCAATGCTGCAAATTTCCACCCGTCAATGCAGAGGATCCCTCGCCTCCCCTGCAATAATCTACCACGCGACACGACAATAGCGGCAGCTGCCCTTGATCAGTTCACCAAAGCGGTGTTCCAGTGGCCTGGCACGACTGGCTCCTCGACACACCAACCACTACCGAAACCATCAAGCACAGCCATGGCGGCAATGACATGATTAAGTGAGTGTCACCACAACACAAACACGGAAGACGCCGCCTGTAACGTCGTACCGAGGAAGAGCTGCAGCGCCATTATCGCCTGGCATGGCCCCGTACCTACTATGCAAGTTTTACTGAGCAGGCACGCCAATCAAATCGTCGTGCTCCTTCAAAGCCTGTTGCTGGAGGCCGAGGCACCAGGAACTGGAACAGTTGGTTGGTTGCGTCCATACAGTTGCCATCTCGGACGCAACCCGTCGGCCTGCTGTACCTCCCCACCTGATTTCCGCCCATCGGGTACATGCGAACTGTTCGTCTACCGAGGCCCTGGAGCGCTGGCTGCCGTTGCCCATTCTTCATGTTTTTCTCTGCTTCCTCCTCTTTCTCACGCAGTACCCGGCGGGTACCGTTTCACTCGCTGTCGGCCGAGGCGCATTCTTGAGTCGATCCTAGGTTTCCCATTCGCCTCACTTTGAAAGCTCTGTCCTTCTTTGTACTTTGCTCAGTCCCGTTTTGGTTGTAATTTTCGCCCTCCCTGTCTGACTCTGACTCTACGGGCTGTGTGGTTGTCCACCGCATCGACGGGTGATTGGCAAGCCACCTCTGCCGGCGGTCTCGTGATGCCCCTCGGCCATTGTTGAGGTCGTTCATTTCGACTTGTCATCACCGCCAGACTCGCCCACCGTTCGGGCACCTGGTTGCCCAGGCAGACACGAGCGCCTTACGAATACCCCAGTGCGCCACGCCATGTCTTTCTTTAATTGGGACCAGGCGCTGTGCCGGCCATTGTCTGATGCGACCTGGACCCTAGCGCCGCTTGGGCCTTGGGGGTCGGGACTTGCGTCTTGTCATCAGCTCGCATCGTCCCTCCCCAAATTGTTGCTAGTAATAGGTAATTCCCGTGTTCCACTCAAATCTCCTCCTCGGCATCGCTGCTCACTTGGCTCTTGGCACTCGTCTTGTTGAGACCGTGATGCTCGAAAAATAGAGCTACACGAAACGGCTATGTGAAGGGCACCCATGCTACCCCTACGAAGCCACGATGGCAGCCACAAACACAACGCACTGATGGATGATATGGGCCCATGGGGATTGGGGATGGGGGGAAGAGGGCTTTTGGGACGCCGGGGACCGTCGCCTTGAACCGTGCCTGTTCTCCTTCTCCGGTGCTCCTCTAGCACCTGTCCAGGCTGTCCTCCATGCCGTCTCCAGCAGCCGTTATGGAGCCACCTGGGTCCTGAGGGATCGAGGCCCCTCAAAAGCCCCTCGCAACACCGGCGGTCTCGTCTCTCGATGGGGCTTGGAACATAGGCGCCATACTCGCGGCCACTAACTCCCAGTAGCTCAACAAAGCATGAGCTATGTTGGCCTCGACAACAACACCAACAACATGGCGATCGTCCGAACATTGGGATGGCTGAAGGCACCACCTCCGAGCGATAACGTGCAGTATGTCTGTTCCCACCGACCGAGCACTGCTTCGTAAACGACCCTGGACAACCAGATTGAGCTGGTCCCCTACAGGGAGCGCATGGCAGATATGCTACGAGAATCCACAATATGAGATCGAGATCTCCTCTGCACCCAACAACCAAATCCTTTTGGACGGTGGTGGTTATTGACTTCACCCACACAAAACATCGGCTACTGCAATGTGGACATAACAACTCGTCTCGAAGCGCGAGACTTGGTAATCTTGCAACTGGCAGACATCTCACTCTAAGAGACTTTCCAATGCCCAACCCCTGAGCCTGTCATCCCCCAGATCGCCCTCAGACGACACAGCAGGGAAGCTTCGAAAGTGTCTTCCACCATGCTTCCTTCGGCTCTAGCCCACCTATCATATCGCGGCTCGCGGGTGACCACCCTCCATCACGGATGCAGCTCGCCGTTCACAGACCAGCTTGGCCTGACTGGCAGTCCACGAGTTCTGTCACATTCGATCATGCTGCTCAGCTGTTGTTTATCACTAGGGCTCGTTCACGTCAGCAATCGCTCGCTGTTGCATCAGTCTGGGCTGACATGATTCCCAACTCCAGCGCTGGCTCAACATCGATGTCGTGTGGCGGCCACATTGGATCAGAGTTTTACCAAATGGTTCAACGGCATCTGCCTTCCTTGGCGACCTCGATGTGGCGGAGGCCAACGAGGCAGCTTGTGAAGCGACCAGCTTGTGAAGCGACGGTGTTAGCTGCTGCCGCGCAAGCAGCCGTCGACGCTAACGTGCATCAACAGCACTGCCTCTACCTGCACAGCTGCTGATACTGTCGTGCCGGTAGGGCCGTGGCCGATGGAGGGATGGAGGGATGGAGGGACCGAAGGGAGGGCGCATGCTCGCGTCAGCACAAAAGGCCTCCTCCTCTCATCATTGCACAACAGCCGGGTCTAGCGCATGAGACAGGGGCGACAATTCGATTGTTCTATGTCACTGGCTTCGATCGCAACCCAAATTTGGCTGTCGAGCACCGCCCGTTAGCTGGCAGGTTAAATTGGACTGCCCATCGAAACACTGGCAGGGCTGAAGAAGAAGAAGAAGAAGAAGTAGAAGGATGTTGCTGCGTTCCTCGGTGGTCTCCTGGAATGCAGTAGCGAAGCTGATGATGCCCGCTGTTAGTTATTCCATCTCTGGCGCAATGGACTACCAGGAACGTCTGCTTCCGGGTCGACGGCAATCCCCAGCACCGAGAATGAGGAGACAGTACTCTGATCGTTGTCGATGACAGCGCCCAGAGATTTAGTGTGCAGCTTCGTCCGTTCTCCACCCCGTTCCCTTCACAAATACCGGCAACGAACCAGCGCTCGAGCAAGCGCCCAAAGCCGGGGCTGCGGAGACGGGCAGCAGAAAACCCTCCAGAAAAAGCCAAGCAATGCGAGGACGCTGCCACCGCTGCGCCAGGCCCAATCGAACCATTCTGTGCGTCCGTCCTGGCCCACTTTTCACCTCCAGCGCGATCTAATCCAGATGAGATTTAGCGTCTGCGGTCGGTCCGATAAGGCATGCATCCGTTTTCTTCAGCGCATCGCCAGTCTGCAGCTCTGGACAGTTGCATGCAAGGCTGACTGACAGGGAGTTGTTTTATCACTACCGGCTCGGAGTATCCATCGTGCCTGCGCTGGAACTCGTCGACGATGCCATGGGCCGTGCGAAATAACGGACACTGGCGAAGTGCTGCTCAATTTCAACCCGAGCTACGGAGAACTTCTTTGCGAATATTGACCATGATCCGGTAGCATTGAGTTCAGTAGCAGCCATCAAGCAATACGGTTGGACTTCATCTCATCTCTCAAGACGGTTTCGAGGAAATTTCGGTATGTGTAGCCTCGTCGGCGTTAACCATATGCGACGGTACCCACTAACCAATGACCACATTCGAACAGGGCTGAAACACCAAATGTCAACTGCCGTCAATTGCCGTGAGAACGCATTGTAGTATTGGGAAATCATGGCGGCAATACCGAGACCGCCGAGCTTTCAGATGACAAACACGTTACAGCTCAACTGCCGGTCCCGAAATATTGTCATCCTCGGTGCCGGACAGACAGAGATCCACAGCTGGCCCGATCCAAGCACCGCGCTTCCTAACCGAACGCCTTTCATTTCCAGAAACCGTCACGCAAATGGTCATTGTTCCGATCCTTTCCAAAAATGCCGTATCCGCGCCATACGCCCTGGGCCTGCGAGGCTCAGAGCTCCTGCGAGTTGGGGCAGTTGCCCTTGCACTTCTTGGGCGGATACCTCACCTCCGAAGCGCAGTTGTTCGCGTCCCCGTGCTTTCCGAGGCCGGCGGCAGGAACAAACTGCCCCGTCTGCAAGCTCCCCTGGAGAAAGTAGCTGTACCATGCCTCGTGGAGCACATCATGGCCCCTCCCCTGGCACCGCAGCACGACACGGCCACCGCTCAGGTCCTCGAGCGCCTTCGTGACGTCAGCGAGCGGGTAGCGCTTCGAGTGCGAGGGCGTGATGCCGGCGCGCTCGAGGGCGGTGAAGGTATCGAGCTGACGGAAGAGGGAAAAGGCGCGGGTGAAGTAGTCAACGACCTCGATGCCCGCCGCGTAGGCATCGGCGTAGCAGGACGTCGACAGGGTGTTTATGCAGCTTGCGTGTTTGTTGTACTCGTGGGCCCAGAGGTGGTTGTTTGTGCCGCTGTGGAGAGTGTGTCTGTTAGTTACGGACGCCCGCGGTGGCCGATGATGGGCCCGGTCGGCTTCCGGCCGGGGGGGTGTTAGGTAAAGAGGGCGAGCAATGGGGAAGGGCTTACTATGCGGCGACCCAGTATCTCTCCATCGAGGCCAGGAGGTCGCTCTGACCGTATTGCTTGAGAATGTCGGAGATGTTGTTGAAGTGCGGCGTCATGCCGCAGTACGACTTGTAGCTCCCGTCGCAAAGGTCGGGCCTGTCGCGCACGTTTGTCAGTGATCACGTTTCTAGCAGCGCACCCGTGAATCGCAACTTTAACATTTCCTTCCCGCTACTCCCAGGGAGAAGACAAAAAAGAGACACGACTTACCATAGCCCATGAACAGTCCAATCCTCCTCTGCCCCGCCAGCGTGCACCGTATCATCCCAGAACTGGGTGAGGAGAATGCGGCCGGAAGGGTAGACGAAGCAGCAGGAGCCCTCGACAGGGCTGGAGTCGCGGCAGCTCGTCGGGCCATTGATGGGGCACGAAGGGGCGCCAGAGAGAGGCTCGTAGGGGGTTACTGCGATGTTGTTGCCATTGGCGCCGCTGAGGGATGGAGAGCTGGAGGCGCTGCTGGTGAAAGGCGTTTGGGATGTTGGCAAGATGGCTGTGAGGCGAGTCAGGAGCGCGCGAAGAGAGGGCGCCATGGCGGGCCGTTTGATGGTGTTTTCTTTCCTTGGGAGGGTTTTGGTGTGGCTACGGATAAGTGTAGGTGTGGAGGAATGCAGAGGAGGGACGGTGGATGAGGATGTTGATGGTTGAGGATGTAGGTCGAGTCGGTGATGTCGAGACGGAGCGGAGCTTGGAGGTTCGAGGCGGAGCTGTCTGGGGGATTCTGCCGAGACATGTGGGGATGGAGCAGGCTAGCATTGGCTTGGAGCGTTCACCGCCTGGTAGGGGGGATTTTTAATTGGCTCGAGCTACAGGGGTGCGTCGTCTGGACCCCTGGGGTTGTGGGGCCGGTGACATACCGGTGCGTTTTTGGCTGTGCGCTTTGAGGAGCGAGTTGAGGATGGCTTCGGTGTCCAGCAAAATGCTCTGAGTTTGGACGAGAGTTATTCGAAAATCTGGTCGCTCTCAAGTTTTTTTTTGCTCTTATTCACAGTGTGGTTCATCTGAGGTAGCATGTGCTAAGTGGTGCAAGTGAGTTGACGCGAATGACTAGGAGACTGTTGGAAAGCGTTGGGTTTGAAATGGACACATTCCACATGTCAAATTTGCGCAGACCAACTCGCAATCATTTTCGCACTCCAGAGATGCAGGAATATGGAATTATACCAGTTGGCAAAGATAATCTGGGGACGAGTGAGCTGCCTAAGCTTTGCTTTGGGAACGGCACTAGAATGACAACACCCTAACAGATCGAACCGTTTGTCATTCACATATGTTTGTTATACAATGGGCTTTTTCTCTATGCCTTTGTGTTCCTAATCAGCCAAGCCAACCTTGGGTGCGGAAGACAGGAACTATCGCAGCTCAAGTCGACCGACCATTCGTATTGGAGAAGGTTTTATAGAAAGAGATAAATGTTCTCAGGATTGCCCTAAAGTTTACAGAGAGAGAATCTAGAGCCTTGGTCAAAGACGTAGAAACAAATGGGACGAATCGAACGGTCTAGTTCTTAGGTTAGCTTTAACGGAAATTATAAGCTGCACGCATTTACTTCAGTCAGTCTACAAAAGGCATTAACCTTTCGATAAGTTTATCGATATTCAAACAACAAGACCGAAGTGCCACCCTACTCGAAAATAGCCTATGAATGTACTCCCACTTCTGAAAGGCGTGCGTCACAGATATGTCCTTACAACACACAAGGTTCTCCATCGAGAGGTCGGGCCTCTCCTCGTAGAAGTTGAACTAAGTCATTGGCCGGCTTCCATACGGTTTTTTGATTGGCGAGGTTTGGGACAGTCGAGAAATAGATATATTGAGCCATTAAAGGTAATTATAAGCGGTTTAGACGTTCGCAGCGAAAACTTCCGGGCTATATATATGTGTGCTCCTTGAACAGTAAACATGTGGTTAAGGGATAGGGTACAAATCTGGGCTTCAAAGGGACGAAAGCAGATCGGATTTAACGATTTTGTTAATAAATCGTACGAGGTCTCGAGTTCAAGCACATATACATACCAATGAGACCATGACTCCAAATGCTGGAAATAACATTTGCTGCACCTTGAGAACAGTCTCAACATATTCATCGGTAAGTTTGATACTTTTCAGACATGCAGTAGCAGACTCGCATCCCGAAGTGTATTCTCGGTCTACTAGTGAATCCTTCGTAAAGGAGCCGGTCAGTTCGTAGATTACAGACAAGTCTAAACTTATTTCACCGCCGCGATATCATCTAAATCGATTTACAAGCTCTTATGCAATAATTCCTCAAAGACATGATTCCAGATAATCTAGCCTCTTGAGTAAAACAAGATATTGATGCACTTAAGCTCGCTTTGCAGTCAACCCTTCCCTAAAGTTTGTTATAGGCTTGGATACCATTTCAGGATTCAAGGAAATAGAGCAAGGGAGTCCTCGAATTAGTATACACGAGGGCAAGGGCTCTACAAGATACTACCAAGTAATCAGAAAGTAATTTAATAACCAGATATCATGCAAGCCTACGGAATACACGTTATCATTGCCCGTGTACGCATCCATTCAAGCGAGGAATGGTTTCGGCTGGACTTCATCTCGTATCATAGACCAACCATACCATCGACTACAGCATCTTTCAACGCTTGCCTGTTAAGTTTGGTTCCCTGACTCGCTCGGTGAAGCCCGCTTCGTGGCTTGTGTTGTGTTTATATGGAGAAAAGCTGCGATGCAAATGCTTCCATCAAGCCATGGGAAACCGGCTCATGCAGCTGAAAAAGGGGCATGGTCCATCTGCCGCTTCGAAGAGGTGGGGAAGCTTGCAGAATGCCATGTGATTCGACACAACGCGCTTCGAGACATAACAACCTTTGAGTTGGGGCTAGCGACGGAAAACAATGTCTCGTGTCATGTCTCAAACGAATGCCATTCCCAGACTAGTCCTTGTTCGGATACCGGTCCGAAGCCTTTATCGCACAGCGCCAGTCAACACAGGAATGTGAAGAATATCTTGCAGCGCTAGAAGGGAACGCCATGTGGCGAGCTGATAGCTGAGAGTTGTGGGCCTGGCAGCGGCAAGAACGAAATCAGATTGACGATGGAAAACTGTAGACGTCCAGTCGTGTTTCTTCCATTCAAATGTTTTCTGCCTCAGACACGGCTGAAAACCCAGTCTGCATTCGTGAAACGGAAGCTCGTTCCTGCAAATACCCAACCAAAAACAAAATAGAAATTCCGTTTGCAAGCTTGACGTTCATATGGAGTTTGCTTGTTGCCTCGGTAGCCCGAGAATTGGAAGTTCAAGGCGTCTCTTACAATTGCCATCAAAACTAGAGTTGAAATGACTATATATTTGGCTTGTCGAGCCCCAAACGATTTCTCTCTGATACAGAATCACAAGCATCATTTCAACTTACCAAGTGAGCATCATACTGCAATAAGCTTTTGAAGTCTTTAAAATTACCTCTTCTGGGCCTCCAACATCATGTCTTATCATAATCATATCGACCAGTCGAAATCAAAGACGCCCAGGAAACTCGTCCTCTGCTTCGATGGTACCGGTAACACCTTCAGCGGATCGAGTGCCGACACAAACGTCGCCAAGTTCTTGGGCATGTTGGACAGAAATCATGCCGAGCAGTTCCACTACTATCAAAGTGAGTGTCCCATTCCAGCTCCAATTGTAGCCTCGCTGATATCAGAGATAGCGGGTATTGGAACGTACGGCATCAACGAGACCTCCGTGAACAAGACATGGTTTGGAAATTTGCAGAGCAAGGTTTCCATGACCATTGATCAAGGGTTTGGGACGACCTTTGACGCTCATGTCATGGCTGGCTACCGTTTTCTCATGCGGTACTACGAAACCGTAAGTCATTTCACGCTTTAATAACATAGACCAGTGTGTCCGATAACAAGTCATGGAAATAGGGCGACAAGATCTACCTTTTCGGTTTCAGCCGCGGTGCCTTCACGGCGAAGTTCCTAGCCCGAATGATACACAAAGTCGGGTTGCTGTGCAGAGGCAATGAAGAGATGGTTCCTTTTGCATACTCCCTATACCAGCGATATCTCGAAGGGGAGATCAAGGAGAAAGAAGAGATATCTTGCGCACATGATCAGGAGAGGGGCGAAGCAAAGCCGCTTTTACAAGAGCACGATCACGATTACACATACGCGAAGAACGAGCTAATCGCCTTCAGCAACACTTTTTGTCGGAAGGAGACGCCGAGCGAGTCGAACCCCAGCCGTAGTTGCGGCTCGGAAGAGCTGGTTAACGTCAAGGTATTCTTCCTGGGGATGTGGGATTGCGTCAACTCAGTTGCGGTGTTGGAGAAGAACACAACGATCCCGCTTTCGGTGAAGGGAACGGCGACCCACGTTCGCCACGCCGTCGCCGTCGACGAGTTCCGCGTCAAGTTCAAGCCTGCCCTCCTCGCCCAGGATATAAAGACTGGTAACTTGAAGCACGACAGCGTTAAAGAAGATATCAAGGAGGTCTGGTTCCCGGGTAACCACGGCGATGTTGGTGGGGGCTGGCCTTCGGAGGCCGACAACCTGCTTGATCTCAACCGAAAGAAAGACATGTCACTTTCGCAACGTATCATGAATTTCTGGACGAGCAGGAAGTCCAACGGGCCAAGCTATGACACGGAAAATGACCGGTTTCAATTGAGTGACATCCCGCTTGCTTGGATGGTCCACGAGGTCGAGCTCATAGGAAAGCACAACGAACCGGCTGGTGTCAAATGGTGTCCGAAGGCCAAGTTAGACTTCGTTGAAAGGTTCAAGAAGATGAAGAGTCAGAAACAGGCTCACAACGGGTTTATTCATGACCCGCTGCGTTTTGGTTTTGGCTTGGGATTTTTCAAGGTCTTGATGTGGAAATTACTGGGTAAGTACTTTCTAGGCACCCCACATCACCTCATCTGTTCTCTTCGCTAAAACCTAACGCTGACATCCTCAGAATGGTATCCGTTCACAGTTCGCTGGGAACTTGAAGGAAGGGACTGGAAGAAGAAGCAGTTTCCCCTCAACAGAGGCATGCCGCGCGACATTCCTCGCGGCGCCCTACTCCACAACTCTCTGATCAGAAGGTTGAAAAATGACGAGAACTATCACCCCACCAATAACCATGGATCTACCAAAGATGGTAAAGAGCGGAAGCCTTGCTTGAAATTCGAAAGAATGAGGCTTGTCGAGAACCAGGAGGATGCCGATGCTGGCCATCAAACTTGGAAGTTTATCAAAACGGACGACGGTCACAAAGATCAGGTTCCGCTGGAGCATTTGCACACGCCCTGGAAAAACGGAAACTCGGTGCTGTAAAACGAGAAGCGGGGGATAGCAGACCAATTTCCTGTGATGCCCAAAAAGTATGAGATGGTTAATGGGCTTGCAGGTTAGAGGAGTAGCCGGATGAATCTCGGGCTCAACCCCAGCTCGTGTTCTGACTCACGGTGTTCTATTTTCCTTTTTACTTTTCCTGTTCTTCAGTTCTTGAGTTACTTGGCAGACTTTCATTTGTGAACTTAAAAATTTCTAATTTTGATTTGTGCCATGTCGTGTCAAAGACCACGTAGCAAGCCTCACTCGTGGTGACCCATATCTTCACCAATCAACAAGATCGAAGGCTCTGGTTCCACCTCTGGAAAGTTCTCTGGCCTGGGCAAGTTTTTGTACTTCAGGATCTGCTTCGTGATGCCGTTTTCATGCTGCCATTTCAGAATTGGATCGTGAGCGACACACTGCCTCTTGATATTGAAGTCCGGATAGGGGTTCTCTTGCGTCTTCATCCAGTTGTGCGAGATTAAGTCGAGAGATGGGTTACATGTCAGTGCTTGTAGTAAGATGTCGATGCAATGTTCCAAGTGTGCTTGGTGCCTCTTGGGTGCCATGGAACTGGCATGGATATTAGTATAGCGTCTTCGACAGTTTGCTTGCTGGGTTACCTACACATTCTTGTATGCATCACCATAATAATAATCCCAATACGCGTACTTGCGTACCGCATTGAGACAGTGCAATTGATGCTGCATATCAATCTCAACTAAGTACTTATCGGGGCCAACACCCCATTCCACCGGAATAGACACGGATATCTTGGGATCTTTGCCCATCTTTCTGAGAGCTGCGCCGCTGACGCCAAAGTATTCGATCCGCGCCATATCATCCCATGCCTTGTCAACCTCTTTGCTTGGTGGGCCACGCCATATGCGGGGTGGCGTGTAGTCGTTGAAGAGTGTTCCCTTGACCTCGATGGTCTCTAGCTTGATCGGAACTTCGTCAAGGATCGGGCCTATGCAATGGTTAAAATCATGCTTCATTGAAGGGGCATCAGCACCGAAAATCAGGAATCCATACTATATGGCGAAATGCGCTTCATCAAACGGACTGGATCATCCAGCCAACTCCATGAGATGAACAGAATTCCACATGATGTAATGAAAAGGACGACGTTGAGAGCTGTGATGAGCTTTGACCAGAAACTCCACTCATATTTGAATTCAGGACGTGAAGAAGTCCATTTTGTCTGCAACATGCGTTAGCCGCACCATTCGCCGTCTGTCGCACGCTTTACCTACCTCACTTGATGAGTATAAGTCTTCTGGCGATTCTTGATCTGGTACACTATGATAAAGATCCTTCATATTTCTGGGACAGGAGATTTATATTGAAGGATGGTTCGGGTTGAAGGAAAAAGCTGCCAATTACTCCAACTTGCCAGTATTTCTTTCGAAAGGGAAAACAACGGCAATTCGGTTATTGGGAAACTGATGGCGAAGAGAAGGGTTATGCCGACAGTCCTGTAATCACGTCAAATCACCAGTTGTGAAGGAATCACCTGCCAGAAACCGTTAAGCTTTGTATTTGAGGACCAATGCGAGGCATTTCTGTATCAGCGTTGTCCAACGGTCCTGCTGAAGTGGTACAAAGTCTTAGGCGAAGGATCTGCCAAGACCATGAAGGATCTGCCAAGACGACAAGGATAGTCTACAAGGACATTCCCATTTCGCGATAGTGAGAGGCTGCCTCTCCAGCTGCCAGGAGGTGATTGAACGTAGGAGAAGGTTAGTGCCTACAAGGGATTGGGTGATGCTTGGATTGAAAAGTTGTTGTGTTTGGTGGGTTCGAGATGGAGTCAGCATCCTGGCTAGATGGGTAGTGGCCAGGAGAGGGTGCATATTGCGGGAGATAACAGCCATGACACCAGTGACAGTAGAGACCTACTATCAGCAGATATACACTCCATAATAAATACCCGGGCTCACGACCCAGGCTGCCTTTTCCGGACAGACTTTGTCTCAGAGGACCCAGGCACCAGCCCATTAGGTTCCCTTCCCTCAAGGATCCCAGTCTCATCCATGTTGTCGCGGGTAGCTTATTCAAACGCTGCGATCTCCTGTTATGGCGAGATACTTAAACCAATCCAATCTACATGCGTCTCTGTTTCCCACTTGCTTCCTGGCGAATACAAGCCACTTTATCCCATGATGACTCATGCCTGCTGTGCGCTCTAATTCGTGACACATTACGTAAATAAGCCACTTTTGAATAAGACTTTAAGCTCCTTTTTAGAAAGAAAAGGAGAAAAAAGAAGAAGGGAAGATGTCACGGAATTTCCCCCCCGTTGGTTCTGTGCATGCCCACTTATCACTGGCGATCGACAATTGGTGACACACAGCGAGAAAATAAGACCTCAATTTCCACAAACAATGTCTGACTCGTAACCTTGAAAGGGTAATACCCAAATAATATTATCTCTTTTGAGGCCTTTGAGAAGCCGAATGAGACATTTTACGCGTTGTGGTAGGTTTCCGACCAGCGGGATCATGGTTCCGGCGCGTGGGTTCCACGCATCCCGTGGCATTTCAAGGGCTCTTCTCGGCGACAACACAGCTTTAACCGTGATAGAACAAAAAATCTTACTAATTAAACATCTTTAACTCTGTAACTATATGCCTGTAAAGGATAGTGCTAATCCTAGAAGGTGGATGGTTACATCAAGAAGATCGCTTCAGAGGCTGCTTAATAAACCGGATACGACATCTTACGCGTTTTGGTAGGTTCCCCGCCGACGGGATCATGGTTCTACGCATCTAGCAGCATTAACGGGTCGAAAACTGAGAATGAAACAATCCAGAAAACGAATTTTGGATTGATCAGCGTACCAGAATCAGTCCTCGCGGAGAGTAGATTAAAAAGGGACCTGGTTCTGCTTCCATATCGCATGGAAATGATACTCAACAACTCCGAAATTTCAAAATTTGAACAACCACAATGAGAATACTTATTATCGGCGGTACTGGCATGATAGGTGGCCATGCGGCTTTACACCTTCAGTCCAAAGGAAACGAAATAACTATCGCTGGTCGTCGAGGTCCTAGCGAAGTCCCTGGTCTGGCTGAACTCCCTTTTATTAAAGGAAGCTATCTACAGGGAGAAATCGGCCAGGAGCAGCTATCTCAATTCGACGCTGTTGTCTTTGCGGCAGGTAGCGATGTTCGCCACGTCCCAGAAGATCAGCACGCGGATCAGCACTACCTTTACGCCAATGGACAAGCCATACCAGCCTTTTCCCAGCTCGCCCGACAGGCAGGTGTTAAGAAGTTCGTTCACATCGGCAGCGCCTACCCACACGTTATACCGGAGTCAATCGGCTCGAGTCCATACGTCCGCTCGAGAAAGCTGGCTGCAGACGGAGTGAAGGCACTGGCTACCCCAGAGTTCCACGCCTGCAGTCTTGATCCGCCTATTGTCGTTGGCAATATTCCGGGCATGACCATACCTATGTTCCGGGCATACATCGATTATGCAAACGGCGAATTACCAATCCCTTCGTTTGCTCCAGTAGGGGGATTCAACTTCATTTCCACCCAGTCTTTGTCCGAAGCTATTGCTGGAGCACTTGAGAACAGCCATGCCGTATCAGGAAAGGCTATCTTGCTGGGAGATCAGAACATGACCTATGCGGAGTACTTTGAGATGTTCTTCCAGGCTGTTGGAAACCCTCAGAAGCTGAAAGTACTGGATCAAGATCATCCACTGATGCCTCGAGCAACCCTTTACGCAGGCGACAGGGTAGTCGAATATGACCCCGACCCGGTGCAGTTAGCAGCCCTGGGAGGATATCGCCGCAACGATATCAAGAGCGCGGTCACTGAGATAGTATTTGGATATTGTCACGCTCGAAAAGCAAGCAATGAATAAACATTTTCAATTTCGCATCACCATTACTTTCAATTAGTTATTTAGCAGCAAAACAGTAACAATTCACAACTTGCGACATTGCATATAGAAGCTTTTTTCTTTATTCTTTCGTTTAGCTTATGCTTCGCCTTTTGTAACGCTGAAATTCTCTCAGCCTCAAAATTTACCTCGGTCTTCTTTCCTCCAAACTGTAGCTTTGCCCTCAATCATATCAGAACAGGCCTTGATGCTAACACCGTTGAGCACGCTTATAAT